CTCTAACGGACGGATGTGATTTTGCGGTGGTGACGGGTTTGTCTGCCAAACTTGGAAACATGCAAAGGTCTAATTTGTTCAAATCCGCGTGAAGACGTGTGCCATGCCCATAAATGCGATAATTTAGAGTAAATATCGTTATTAGAAATCATTCCAGCAATGTTAAATATACGGCCCAAAATTAATACGTCCGGTACTGCCGTTAAGCATCACTTCAGACGGACCCAATCTAGGATTATTCGGTTATGAGAGCAAGATTTTTTTATTGCATTAAACAGAGGCATCTGTTTTATAGATACTTCTTGAAAAAAAAAACATGTGAAATCAATCGTTCTCAAACGATATACCTCTGTAGATATGAAACCAGATAAACACCAATGCACATTAATTCTTCCAAATCACTACGTTGGTATGAAATCCATTGATATAAAATATCATGGATTGCAAGAAAATGCTTCCCATCACACTTTCGTGCGCTTGTGTGGAACCTGACTTTTCTGACCGCATCGAAGAGGCTTGTAGGAAACCTGCTAGGGGGGCCCTTACCTATGGTATGGCTAGATTTCAAGAGAGCTTTTTCTAGAGTCACATTTGGACCACCGCTTGCCTTGAGTTGAGCATGCTATGGTGGGATGATGTCGCGCAGAATGTCTCGGAGACTCGTAATATCGCCCTCGATGTAACAACTAACCATTGTTCGAATACGTTTTGCTCTCTCGACAAGTCTACATATGTATTCACTAAGAATAGCTCCCCCCAAAATGAAGCTTATTTTGCTCATCGGATCTCTGTACCAAGCTGCGCGCATAGTCACTCGCAACTGGAGATTTTACAATGATTCTTACTTAGCATTAACATTAAGGCAGAACTAGAATAGGTATTACACTAGCTAATTACTTCATAATCCCTATATTATGGAAAAATCCACCACGAAATCGGAACATTTCTCTACGTTCATTCGCAGAAGCCGACAACTACCTTAGTACACCAAGGTTACAATTTTTAGGTCTATTAAAGGCAAAAAAATAAAGAAAAAGGGATAAATATGCGGTACATTTTATTCAAAATATGCAAAATTCAGCCAGTAAACAAAGATCATCAGTTTCTGGAAGGCAGCGCGGTGTCTAAGAAACGAAAACGTCATATATTCACTGAATACTCGCTGCAGACGAAACGTCTCGCTCACTGTGAACATAAGCTTGTCCAGCTTTCAAGACAGAATTAGTCAAACTATAAGTAAAGCAACTCTTAATCCGCCGTGTGTTCTGTGGAAGCAACAGGAACCCACGTGTTCTCCTCTGTTGCCCGTTAACGGCCCGCGTCAGTGTCTTAGGGTACGCGCGTTCGATCTAATTATACATCTACTATCAATCGACTTTAGTTAACGTTAGCTGAGTTTAGAAACCGTACAAGGCCAGAGGCAAGGCGTGTGGAATTTACGCCGAGTTTAAATGATTTAGTTTACGTCTTTATACAGTTACAGTTAACGAATTCAATTCATGATCTTGTAAATTTAAAAGGAAATCATCATCGTATCGTAGCAGTAATTAACTGAAAGAGAACGAAGCACAACTATCTTCGCTAGAATGATTACACAGCCTTGCAATTTTTTTCGGGTACTGATGCTCCTCGATAGGCTTCGCCTTACATGCCAGTACCCCGATATATCTCGTTTAGGCTAATAGAATCAATTCTAGATACACTAGATAAGTTGAAGGACTCACACCAGAGCGTCATTTACAACCGGGAATTAGATATTTACTTTTGAATGGTTAATCCACGGATTACTGGAATATAACGTACTGTTCGGACCGATCGTATTCGAATAGTGAACCGTGGTAATCGTCAGATACATGTGGCTAGCGCTAGTCCAATCCATTGCATAAGAATATACATCCTCCGCACATGGCTGTATTGACAGCTCAATTTAGCAAATGCAACCTCATGGGTAGAAAATTATGCCATATGCAGGAATTAACTATTGAAATCTGTCACATAAATTATGTTTCGGTGTCAAGGACAAACAACAAAAGAAATTTCTCACAAATGAATCATGATTGCTGCGCGACGTACCACAGAATCAACAACTTTGAAAAAAGACCACGAAACTAGGTGGCAATTCTGTAGCAAGGCATTGTAAACATATTTTAACTTAAGTATATCGTAGATAGGTACACCGCGCAATGATGATAGCTCGGGCTAACTGCAACTTGCTTTTTGTAAGCTGGAATTTATTTTACTCGAATAGCAAAACCTCTGGCTGAAAAAGCCAAGGTCGTTTGGGTCCACGATAGATGGAATTAAATGACGATAAAAGAAATTCTTCTACTGTGTGACACACCATTATTAATTAAGTTCATCATGACTGAATATAAAGCAACTCCAAATGACTTCTGATATATTCTTTAGATGAGGAATAATGCAATGCTACTTTTTTGATAAATTGATCTAACTTGTCTAAAAACAAAATGTTCGAAGCTCAAGTACCATATCCTGCTGACACGATGTTTAGCTGCGAGGCTGCGTGCCGTTCAGTGAGATTAGTAACACAAGCTATATTTATTCATTAAGATTTTATTGTTTACGCAAAAAATATGGCGAAAATATGATGTCCAATATCAAAGAAAAATCAGCCACTATAATATTACTCATGCGATAGATAAAGCAGCGTTTCTCGAGCGATTTGTCCTTAAGTTCGGCCTTCAAATACCGTAGTACAGTACATGAATTAAAATACGATATCCTTTCGTACGCGCTTTCAATAGAGCGAAATTATCTGAAAGACAACTCTTTACCGCTTGGTTAACGCTACTTGTTTGGATAAATGAATTATCATAAATATCTAGAAAACAAAGATTTGTAAAAATATCCGTGATAATGTTAACTGGATTCGAACTTACATTGGTTTCACAATGAAATATATTCTTATTTTAACTTCAAGATAAGAGACGTTCCGGCCTTACAAGTGTGACACAAATTTTATCTGGAGGAGAAATAAATAAGTAAGTAAGTATAAATATAGGATCGTTTTCGATATATATATATAGACCCAAATTGGGATACACCTTGGCGAAGAGCTTGTTGTAACTGGCATGCGTTCATCCGTTACTCGTTGTAGCAGACGAAAATCAGTCCGTTTGGATCAAAGGTAAGTGACGAAATTTGATGTGAGCAAACGTACGATGTTACGGGTTATCCACGAAGGTGGTAAAGACCTCTGGCACATAGAATCAAAGTCTGATAGATGTTCTCTGAGGACAATAAAGCCAGGAGACTTAACCGGCGTTACTTGCTAGTCAATTCTCTTAAGAATGAAGCAACAAATCGTTCTCGAATATTCTGTGACGATATTTTTTATCCTTGATGCAAAAAGGAACCTCAGAAATTCTCTGTGGCTTGCTCACGATCCAAAGAATGCGCCCATTGTGGCAAAACAGATTTTCAGCTAAAATTCAACAAAAGACTTAATCATGTTCTGGGTGCAAGGTTAAGTAAAGGAGAGGTCGTACTATCATAATTCTTTTAGAAAGGCGAACGCATCACTAAAAAACTTTATGAGACAAGGTCTCTCATAAACCCAGTCCCAATGGCATGGTAAGTGAAACCTAGTAAGCATCACAATTTGTTTCAATTACAAGAAATATGAACAACCATCCCATAGGCAACTCAAGCGATCTGTGATCTACATAAACGCCTTCACAAAGTGGTATAGTAATAAATCATAGATTTTATCGTATGTGTTTTACTAAGTTTTAAGCGTAAGGTTACACATATCAGAATCGGCAAATTTGCTTAAGTTTGGCCAGCCCATAATCTTTCTATAATATAAGCTATATAAGCCCATAATCTAACCACAGACACCGATAATGAGACTTGTATCTTCTATGCCCAAGCTAATTTCCCACCTAACACTAATAAAAAAAATATTATTACAGGCAACAAGATAAATAGCCATACTGACGCAAACAGGAGTCACATTCCTTTTTTGTTACCACATAAGGCATTTCTAACGAATGTAGTTCTCATTTGTTAACGAGCCTCTATCAGTTCAAATTAATGATTCAAACATTACCTGGCTATAAACGTAACAATTAGTTCGCCTAACTCACCATTGTTATATACATTTAAATCACGCCGCAGATAATAGCGTAGTCCTACATGTTCCAAGATGTTATGTCATTTCCACCAGACTCTCAACTAGCCATTCAATAACTCAAAAACTTTTTGCCGGACTTCTGCTGCTTCAGAATTCGCTAATTGGCCGTTGGATTCGAGTTAAATGACAATTCACTATGAGTTCCATTATAAAATGTTATGCTTTTATACGTGAGGGATATTAACCGGAGCTCTGCTATACGGGCGTAGCCCGCCCGTTGGATGCAGCGGGCGTTGCTTTGTTCTATATACATATATATATATATACATAGGGCAGTGATTTGAAGAATTTTTATGCACAAAAAAATAAAAACATAAAGCTGATATAGACTTCTTTTTCCTTACAGGTCTGGCTCGTTTAACAAGTAAAAATCCAATGCTCTGTTGTAAATAATCTGTGAAGGTAGTGTGATTAAGGTGAAAAAGAAAGAGTATTTTCGTTTAAAGTGTTGGTTAAGTAATTTTATCAAACCCAGTTACAAAGATCATTTTTCTAATAGCTGCTCTAGAGTTATGAATTGTGCTTTGGAAAATGAAAGATTATTGAAAATTTTCCGAGTTGATAAGTTGTTTCGGATTAAAGAATCAGACTATCCATTCAAATTTATTAACATTATGGCGTTTGCTTAAATATTATTGGACAACGTAATATTACAAATCATTTGGTAATGGTAATTGGTTTGTGAATCAGTCAGTACAGTCCGTAGTTATATTACGCTGATAATCATGGCGTCGTGACGTACGCTTGTTATATATCAATACTGGATTCATATCGCCTGTTTCTAGTAACTGGACAATACATATACAATGTATAGTTGCTCCCTGGACAGACTGAGCGTGTTTAATCATTATTTCTTCCAGAACAAGGTAACTTTTATCGTTGGCTTTAGAAACATAATTTTTCAGACTATTTGGGGCTCAAGCTAAATGCCTGGCTCTAAAAGCAGTGATATTCGATCAACAAAGCAAGAGAAGCACACGTTTAGCAAACGAAGGTAAGTGTACAAAGCCGCTAATTTAACAAAATCCCAAGCAGACTATGTTCTGTTTGTTCCTGAGAAGCTCATTCTGACCTTCTCGGGGTTAACTCTGGGGCACCAGGGTTGCCATAGGTGTTCGAAAAATAAGGATCCGTAATCGATTTTCGTAAAACAGACCACCGGCAATAATTTTATTTGACCTCACACGACTATATTGCAATTCGTTTCCATAACTAGCTTTCTTTATCAATAAGGCGATATGAAGTTCTAACTTATCAAACCAGAAGACTAGTTATAAAGCACTAAATGGATAAAAGGTGGTTTACAAAAGAACCTCCACTGAGTCTAGTTGCCGATCTTATATATTTGTTTGTATCTGCTTCTTTTGTGATTCTTCTGATATGAACATGCTGCATACCCGCAGTTCGTGAAAAGTAGGCCCCGTTATCCGTATGTTAAAATTCAGGCTAGTGTTATTACTTCATCAACTATTCCGCCATAGAATATCACTTCCGCTAGTAACTCTTCTTTTCGGTAAAAGAAAGTCAAAATATCATGTTGTATATGTATAGCCTTCTATATAACACCTCTATTCCGTCCATTTCAACTGTTTATAGAATCGCCACAAGGCTTTCTACTCTGTCACGCTATAATCTTTAATAGTGGTCACGTAGGTCAAGAATTTTAAGACTGTCAATAACAACAACCCAGTCACGCCTGAAGCATGTGCTGTTAGTGATACAAGTGGATCGCAGTTTGCCTTGCCTCCAGACTTGAATGGAGAGGTATGGCAATAAGCCGGTCTCGTCGGGCGTTCCCTAGTGGCCAGGGTATGCGTTTCCATAGTTGAGCTGCAGCAGCAATAACGATAGCAGCGCCCTTGTGCTCGTCATTTCGTGGATAACTACAGCGGAGCGTTGCCTAGTGCGCGACAAAGATGCCAGCTAACGAGATACAAGGGCTCATACATACAACGAACGAGTCGGCGCCCTCCGAGAGCAGGCAGAGTCGTCGCATCGCGCGGTGGACCCAAGCACCGCTATACGAGGTTGGTGAATGATACTAGCGACCGTGCTCTTCGTTCGTATAGTACTAACTATGTGCTGCTGGTCTGCCATTGAGCACTACGTTACAGCCAACGGCTGAAATACCCGCGTGCTTGTTTCTCATTGCCATCGCTTCTGCCGCTGAGGCTGCCATATAGGCGTTTTATGCTAGTTGCGCATTTAGTCAGTTGTCTTCGTGTTATGCTGGCCTTTAGTGGTAGTTGTAATGGTGTTGATAGTGACGCCTCTCTTAGCCTGCCTTTCCGAACACGCGCTGCAGCTGACTCTCTGCGCGGATGCCAATCGAGGGCCAAGGATATGTCTCGAACACTCGGCAGCACAACCCATATCAGCTGGCTAGATGGATGACTTGTCTGACGGCGACAGCTATAGCGTCTACGGCTGCTGGATGGGAGCCGACAGCGAATTGTCGGTCAATACGCGACAACTGCCACGGCAGAATCAACTACACGACGATTGTTATTGTTCCGTGTTCGATTATCACCATCGCTAGTCTGAGGTACGTCAAACTTTACAGCACGAACAGAACAGTACGCAATACATATTTGTGCGCCCACCCGTATTAACCTGTAAGTGTGCGCAATTACTTCTCGAGTCGTAGGATTATCAATACCATCTTTATTGATTATGTGAAATTTGTTAGATGAGTATTTACCATTGTTCTCACTCTTGTGCTTCCGATAGCTCGCCTGACGTAGTATGTGCGCATTACTAACGGACGATGGGCTTTGTAAGCCAAAGGCTCTATCGCGATCGGTCGACAGCATTAATGGCAGCAACAATCAAACGGACGTAACAGAGTGACCGAATGAACGCTTAAGCGTTGGAACGTATGCATTTCAATAGACATGTGTGGGCGGATGAATCAAGTACGAGACTATGAATATTTCCTACTGTATTCGGGAACTGTCGAGTTTACTAGGGCAAACGCTCGCAGAGCGCAATGGCAGAGCGGTATTTACCGCAAATGACTGCGCGCGGAACAATCACCGGTACGTACATGTCGTTGCCAGTGCTTTCTTTCGGACAACGACAACAAGGCGATAGAGAGAAGACATGACATACAAACGCAAATATTTATTGTGGGTGTCTCGCTTACAATAAGCTATGTGGGGGCTGTAAGCATGGCCGAGATTATCTAGGCAGATAAGGTTGACACTTACGTTCTGTTCTGAATAGCAATGCTGCTTTATCTGCTTCGTGATGGATGTTTACGCTTTCTCCTCTGAAACTGGATCAAGGGCGAAGGGAAACAAGAGAGAGAGAGCGGATCAGGAGGTTTGTTTCTGGGGGATATCTTGGGTGAATGCGCTGGCAAATGGAAGAACATTGGCTTCAATGGTCGCTTAGTTCATTCATGCAGGCGTTGGCCATCGATTGGACCGCATACACAATGTTCCGTTACGTGTTACGATTCGCAAATAAAGTCATTGGCACAACAAGGTCGTGTAGATGTATACATAAGACATATTTGATTCCTAAACTGAAGCATATATCGTTTACGAGCAACATTGATGCACATTATACATGTATAATGTTATTATTCTGCTGTTGCTTTTCGGTTATTGGTGCCTACTATTCATACGCAACGTGTGCTTCCCGGTGCGTAAACAGGAATCCATAATTAACACAAGTAAAGCGAACATTACATGGTACACAAACCAGTGTAACATATGGGTATGCTGGCATATAGTACATGATACTTAACACGTATACACCCATATACGCATGCGTGGAAAACACATTGTTAAACGTAAAATTTGATTGGAATCGGGTCGCGGATCCTGTTCATTAAGCGAGCTAACGCTATTATTTCGCATAGTCTCGCGCATGTCCGAAAGTGGCAAAGCAAAAGTTCATTTAAATAAACTATGATATAGTGCGTAGCACCAAATCTAAAGATTTTCGAATCGTTGACGGAGGTTCCTGTAACATTGTTTGTAACACCATAACATCTAGGTCCACACACAGTGTTGCCCTTTTGATTTCCGTAATATTGGAATTGTTTAAAATTAACTCAACCAATGATAATTCATTCGTGTTCTATAGCATATCTTCATATTTGTTAAACCGCGATATCCAAGTATCACCTTCCCTTTCTTCCTTAGACAGATTACAGTATAGACCATAACAGCTCTGGATACGTATACATAGGATTAATGATCGTAATTGTATAGTCTGGTACTTTTTTTCTAGAAAAAAAATGTCTACTAGTAATAGACTTAACCTAAGAAAGGTGGGTTCAAGATGTGCTTGCTGACTCCATCCGCCCCCTTTTTTCCTTTTTATGGCTATTCTGGAGGAAGCGGGAGCTCTCACGTACAAACCGTCTGTCGCGATTCCTTGCATTTTTTCTGTTTGCAGTAGCGTTCATCTATTATCAATAGCTATAATGGCTGTCTGACGTTAGTCTAACGTCACTTAATACACCTAGGCCGATTGAACCGCGACCGAAGCCATGCAAAGCAAAAGATAAAGCAACAAATTAGATCTTTTGGACGTTGTATTCTCTAGCTCAAATTAAATGTATAGTAGGTATTTTTTTGGCTTGTCTTCGAGTGTATTTGTATCTACCAAACATAGTGAAACAACCCGTAATTGTAGGTGAAGCTGAAATTTGATTTTTAATCAGTAACGTTTGTCGTACCTGGATATTTTACTCAATGGATAGGGTGTCGATGGTCTCTTAGGTAACTGCTGTGAGGATTCCAGAATAGTAGTGCTAAAGTTAGAAGTACTAATTTATCGTCTGCCCGCAGCCAAAAGGGTCATCCAGTCTTTTGGGTGACGGCGCACGTTATACTAACACTCATAAATGATATATATGTTAAGGAAAGATGACCCCACCCACTTACGATTAATTTGTATTAACCAGTATATTTACTAAGCTTATTATACAGATCTTATTTCCGGTAGCGTGCGTGGGTGAAGCGCCTCTTAGTAAGGCTAGTAGATGAATAGACTTGTACGCTGCTGTTCACATTATTTCCTCTGTGTGTTAGTGGCGTGACTTCATTTCGGTCGCCTTTCTGGCGAGAACAATTAAAAATGTAACTCATTAACAATAGATCACCTTCGATCCTTAATGCACCAGTCGGCAAACTCTGCAATGCTTTGCATATATAATAACGAAAGTAATAGAGGACCATATCTCGGCAAGCAACCCACCGTTAGTGCTGCTAATGGCTTCATAGGTTTTCGCTTGCTTTTTCAACTAAGCAATTCACAGCATTTGATTTGTGGCTATTCTAGGGTGCATTTTCTACCTTGTTACCGCCTTGTTAGAGCAAAAATCAATCCTTTCCGTCACCCAGGAATCCCAATTACTGCTGCAAAACATATATCCAATGTACAAATATCTCTACGTTACCATAATAATCCGTTTTGTTTTCTTGGAAAGTTCATCCAAGTACGATAGGTGTAAGCGTGTTATTTCCGAAATCCCCAAGAACAAGGTGACCGGCTATCTGAGCCCCGTTGTTCACGAATTGATAAGCTACGCGAAATCTGTCCAGTGTGTGGACAAGTATAGCAGCTTAATGCTAAATCTATTGTATCAGCATTTCAGAGGCGCCGACGACTGTAGCGTTGCTAACAACGTCTTACAATAATTTACCGCCATTAATCCGTTTCTAAAACAACAAGCGTCACGCAAAAGGCGTGGCAGATACGTCGTCCGGTAGAAGATGATTGGCGAACAATGAAGAGCCTTCGAAAATTTGCCATATGTTCGCTCTGCGCGCGCGCGTGGGTGGCAATATTATCATGGGTCGCTTATGATGTAAACGAATATTGCAAACCAAAGCCAATAGGTCAAAAATGAACGATTTAGTTTATATATATATATATGCCGATTTCGACATAGTGCGTAGTGAAATTTTGACGTTAACCACCTAGTTGCATTTGAAAATGTTAAACACTACGTAGAATTATTGCTTAAGAAGAAATCGGTAGAAATCTTATTAAGTGATGGTTTCACGAAAGGATGAAAAGACGGTGCTTAAGAAAACACCAACGCTCAAAACTATATCATCCGATCTTGTCCTGTTGCTACTGCAGTATCGATCACCGATAGCATAAAACAAGTAATTGTTGCACGCTTATCAGAGTCAGAATGTTTACTGGACATTGTTCGCACACTTCGAAATATTGCATCCATATCGTCGTGTATCGCCTAAAAGAAGCTATACGCAGTCATTGGTCAAAGTAAGCAACTTATTTTTCACCTGATCTCTCTCAGATGTTTGCGGAGTTCCCTAGAATAAGCTAAATGCACCTATTCCCTTTGGCACCGTCCTTCACAGCGTGGAGAACAATTTGTTTTACATTCTGTTCGTTGAAACAGATTCATCCACTCAGTGGTTGCTAAGCCAAAATAGATTTCATTTTTCTTTTGTCGCTTGATTCAATGCTACAAATGACTGCACTGTCCTGTGACCAGCCCATCGTTATTTGACACACGGCACTTCTTATGGTGTTGGTGACTGTTCATTGTGTTACGCGTCGCCAGCACAATATAAACTTTGTTTGTTGCCCTGGACGAATTTACTTTTGCAAGCCATACACAGATGACAATGCAGTCTTCATCTTGTTATTACTCGCTCTTCTTGTCGGTCTATAGTAGGTCTGAATTAACCGCTATAACACCCCATTTGCGTGGACATCCTGGATCGAAGAAATTACTTGGAAACTAGACATGTATAACTTATAACGGGTGAACAAGGCTTTCATCGGAAGCTCGGTGTAAATATGTCCACCCTGCTTCTTCGCCGTACGTTTTATTCACCTCGATAATAAATCCGTAAAGCCTATATATGAATTCGGCTGTCTCGAATAACTAAAAAAGAATTTGCCTAATCAGTTGAGCAATACACATTATTATTACTATTATTATTAAGAAGATACCTGTGTATACACCATAAAGCAGGAAATATAGTGGAGTTTAAACAAATCCCAACTGCACAACATCCTTTTGTGCACCGCTGTCGTCGTTTTCGTTAGCTATACATGACGCAAGAATAGACTAATGCTATGGCATTGTGTTATTCTTCCGTGCGCGTTTACAATGTCATTGTCCGCCAACGAAAGTTACAGTCACTTAACCGACGTAAGCAGGTGCAAGAAGAGGACAAAAGAACTTGTTATGTTACACTGCGTAACTTCTCTATTCGAAGGAGGATCGCGAAAGGCTGAACGCAACAGCCAGCTGAAACTAATTGTCCGATCTCAGTACTTCGTAAATTTCTTACAATCGACTGTTTGCGTTTTGCGTTACCGACTTCACCTGGTTTTACAGTTATCGAAGGATATCGTTAGTCCCAGACAGTTCAATATTCTGTTTATGTCAGAGCTACTATCACTGCGCTCCATATGCAGGTTTGCTTTCTTTATCGTAAAATAGCGGATTAATGAATTATGACGCTATTTCTATCGTTTCTGGAAAAAAGCTAGCACCTGCTTTGGTGTGACGACGCGTGCTATCTAAGCTCAAAGGTTAAGGTTCTTATTCAAGTAGGTATAGGCCTGCAACTAATACACGCTTTTTTGATTCATGCGACATCACCATAGGACAGCCCTCCACATTCCTGTTCTCGCACTTCAACAGTTTCTAACCACTGACAAGTCCTCAGCTCAAGAAGCATGTCGACTAGCATCGCGTATCGAACACGCGGACAGTAATTTTGACAAAGCAGAGTACAGATGCATCCGTCCGATTACCCTAAACATATTTATTCTTAATAAGTACGAAATGTAATGATCACCGTGTCGTAGACAAAGCTAACGGCAGAAAGATCATCCGCTAGGGCACCTCGAAGATATATTATGTGTGCGGATGCGTGCCCAACTCCAATTTTGCTATTAACGATTTAACAGAAATGTCCTAATGTTGCCATACAATTATCACATGATGGCTGACTGATCGCCTTGGTCAACCACGCGACCTGATAGGAGCTTTCGAGTTGACCGCCTGTCTATTCGACTATCGTTACGGACGATGCAAATGGAATGGTACAATGATCATCACCTCCCTGATTACTATTCGTTGTGCAATTTATTCAATCACGCGAAACATACTCGCCGATGCCTGTAGTACTTGGTCAGTCAGTCAGAGTAGCTCGGGCCGCCATTTAATCCCTCCTTCGGCCGCAGCATTCACGCACCTCCGATGAAATTCTAGCCGACGAGTCCTAGTCCACGAAATGGGTCTAAAAGCGGCCCTCTTTGCTCCGGAAGGGGGAGACAAGCGTGTTCTAAGAAGCTCGCGTTAAGAGACCATGCGCGACGGGTAGCACGACATCTATTTAACTCGGGAATATGATGGAGTCGATGTTATTATTGTACTACTACAATTCGAAATCAAATACCGGTTCCATCATGTACTGTTCCGTTACGACTAGCGTTGCTAATTCTTGACAAGTGATGTATAAAACATCTAGAATAGGTTGTTAGACTCACCCAGTCTCTGATATTCTGGAAAAATGTCTGAGCAAACGAAAGACACAGGTACAGCACTAATCAGCTGATCTGAGCCGTACATATGTAACACACCGCATAATGTAATACACCTACCCGTAGCATACAGCTAAAGATTCAGATGAAGAAGACTCAAACACGTGTCATCTTTCGAATGCCTCCTCGCTTAAGTGCATGATAAGTAGGGAAAACGATTTTTAAATAAATTTTATACATATAATAAAATGTAATAGCGACTACGATTGACGACTGCTGATCCTGAGCCATAGCACGAGTTCGGCAGGCCGATTTAGGCTGATATTTTTCTGCTAAACTGTTAATAGATATAATAATGACTCATCCTTTGAAAAACTGTGCACTGTTTACGGCTGTTAATTATATGATATACCAATAAATCGAAAGCGGAACATTGACACGTACTCAGACGCGTTTCTTATATCACATATAGTAGATAAGCATACACACCCATATTAAAGGCTAACCCGCTAAACTCAGCCATATCATTAACGTACGTCGGCACATGATAACAGGTCATTTCAGTAATTGCGCGATGGCTCTGCTGTTGGTGGACGTCTCTGTGTAATCATCTATTAAAAAAGAAAGATTTCTACTATTTGAATAAAATAGAAATGGGTTCCATTCTATCGTACTGCTTCGAGCCTGTAGAAGGTTTAAGCTGCCTCTAATGCAGTTTGATCAGTCTTTACAGGGCGGTAGGGCAGAATCATAAACATGATGCAATGCATTGGGTTAGTGAACAGTGGCATGTAAATTGATAGTTCTTCTGCATCACACTTTGCCAGAAAAAGGTGTTAAGTGATTATGTACCTCGAAGAGTCGTCTTACGCTACGACGTTGTTCATTGTTCCTAGTAACAGGTTCCTGTTAGCTTTGTCGGCAGACACGGGAGCTATCAGCTACTTAATAACTTAACCGTACTTAGTTGAAAAATAAGTTGCATGGATATTTTATTTAGTGAAATTGATTTGGCACAAGTAACAAACGGCTCTATTCATTTCTCATTGACAGTTTCGTCAATTCGACGGCAATTAACTGGAGACCGACCGTAACAGTTATGACATTGGTACTAGTAGACGCAATAGTTGTGAGTGAAAATCGTAGCTACAAAAGGCGAGTAAAAAGCAGCCTGCAACAGATCGTGATCCACTTTTGATGCGTTTTCAGCGATCGCCGAGCGTCGCTCGCCCACAGAAAGACATGCGATGTCAAGCAAACAACAACAATAACTCAGATTGTCCGTTCACTGACCGTTGCTGATGGCAACGCTATCGCAAGACAGAACTTTTTTCACCTCGTCATTAAAGCAAAAAAAAAAAACAACCGGCACCGAAAAAGAACATTCTGAAGCTACTGAACTTGATGACGACTAGTCGGTCGAAAGGCCACAATACCTCGACACTGTTTCACACGACGAAGCCATGAGGCTGAGCGAAAAATAGAGAAGTTCCGTCCTGTGACGAAACATTACGTGGTAGAGTCATAGTTGGAATGAAAAATTAACAGCGTTTGCCGCTGGAAAAATTTGGCCTATTTATGCAACAGCATTGGAAGAGCCATTGGACAACTACAACAGGTTGTATTCAGTCAAATACATTTAACTGCTTATAAGTTTAACATCACAACCGATATGTAGTCTAAAGCCCATTCACCGTAAACTGTCAAAATAATCATCGATCTATAATGAATCACTATTATTCAGATTTGTCTTCCACAGATAAATGAAATATCTATGCTAATTATAATAGACGACTACATTCGTGTAACGTTTATTGACATCCGTAGTTTTTCTTTTTTTTTTTTCAGTTTATTGTACTTCGGTGTTTAGGTGGGCATAATGCCTGTTATCGACCTTCGTTCCCACGACAGCGAAAGCCAATGCATGAAAAGTAGGTTCTTCGTTCGACACTGGACACACTCGTACGATTTCACTAGTCTACAATTGACGCGCCCGCTCAAGGATTCTCTAATTATCAGACGCAAAGAAATCAACAAGCAGCGTCCCAGCACTGAGTTTTTTTTATCTTTCGCTATATTTGATTTAAGAATATGCTGGGTTCGAATCAAACTGAATGAAGATTAAAATGAGATAAAGGAATACAGATACTGTTAGACCCGACAACACGCTTGCTGTATTTTGCACACATATAAACAGATGTAAATAAGGAATATGGCAAGATTTGCACAGTGAAGTAACAGTAACAATCTCGCGTTTGTAATTGGCCGTCTGATGTGCCGTATGTCCGTACTATTTAATTATTTTTTTTATTGTATTATTTATAATATATATATATATATATATATTAGCACCGCTCGCTTGCAGACTGAAATGAATATATCACAAAAATCAGCAATAAAACAACACAGTATTATAGCAGCTCTGAATAGAATGTGACGTATAAGATAGATCCATATTTACATAGACGTATTCGTAGTGCATATAATGCATGATAACATCAAGTCTCGCCTTTGTACGCCTTACAGCAGGGCTAACAAGCCATCTCTGGTACCCGTTTGCTTTTATAGTAATGTCATCATACTTACTTCCCACGATGGGACGCTCTGGAAAAAGTTGAGTATGAATACGTCACCCGTTAGTCGATAGTTACGGCAGGAAGAAAAGAGGTATTTATGTAGGCCGTTTACAATCATCGCGGGTTATATAGTTGTTCATGATAAATACGTTTCGATTTCTATTGTTAAACTGAAATCATCAACGAAACGCAGTGTTTGTATCACAAAATACCATATAAGTAAGAAATGAAAAGCTTGTTATTCTTTGAGATCTACTTCGTCTCTTACGAAAGTATGCGAGAGTATCATTTATGTTTTCTCGCTTTAAAGCCCACGGCAATTTTACCAGAGTTGCCGTTTACCAGTGTATGAACCATATACTTGATCTTCAACTAATGCTCTTTAGTTATACGGCATGGCTCTTCCTTATCTAAATCATGACGAAGACAGTTCTCTACTGAAGATGGTAACCTTCTAATTTGAAATCACCGTCAAGTGCCACAACTAAGTATCGTACGAATAATGTATTTATGTGTTAGCCCTTAAAAATGATAAGCGAACAGCTCCTAAGAACTGTAAATACGGCGGCGGACATTCGTGTGAAACGATCACAAATGATAACGAAGTAAACCACAATGTCATTAACCCACTTCCAAGAGAGAAAAATGTAATTTATCTGTATAGACTCAACTAACAATTGAAATTTTTGGAAAAATACGCCAGCCTCTCATAAAAGCTCAGAATATTCTAGTGCTACAAGCCTTTGCCTTCACAAGGTTTGTGAAGTATAAGTACATGGTGAACCGAATTCGTTACTGAAATTACCTTTGCTGTTAGATGTCTGATATGTCGTACAAGGCTGTAACCTCTAATGACTTAGGATTGTGCTAGCCGAACACTAAGATCAACAAAAACAGTTTTTTTCCAGCCGTTATTTTTCGATATTTTATATATTGGCTTTTAATACCCGTGTTTTCTCAACTGTTTTTCATTCATCTGATCATCGATAAGAGTTCAAGCTATATTTACTATCTGTGAGTGTCGTGGATATCGGGACTGAGTGTATTAAGAATCAATTGGCACCTCACGTTAAGACCACTCCCAGCAAATCGATGTGATATGATCACATTGATGTTTAACGGTGTTGTCTCAACCTCGCACCATTATCAGCGCCGACAAGGCGCTGTTCCAAAGTTCCAAACTGAAGCTAAGTTCAGCTGTGTTTTCGCTGAGCTGCTGATGTCTGGCAGCTTGTGTACCGCCAGTTGCCGACAGGAACGGACAACTTCAATGAGATTCATGTGTGCTTCACGCCATGACCGCCGCTGCCACTTCGATGAGCCAACGATGGACGAGCGATAGATGCACCAACATCAGTGACGGCACCGGCGCCGAACCAATAATAAATAATAGATGAATGGTGGATGGACGAGAGTGCCCCACACCAGTCAACTAAGGCGACACTAATAATACCTTAACTGCTTCTATTTGAACTACAACTGATTGCAGAGAAACAGAACCGTGGTAGATTCCGTTCCCTCAGCGGTTCACAATAAACGACTCAACGAATGAACAAATAAACTTCCTGCAAAGCCTGCGACGGCAGCTTTTTCTCGGGGTCTACTGCCAGCCGGTCGTTGCTTACAGCTCCCCTCCTCCCCCGTAATAGGCCGCTTTTCGCAGCACTTATGGGGCCACATCGGGTAGTGTAGCTGATGATCTTGGTGATGGCGTTGGTGCTGTTACAACGGACGAAGCTGTGCTGTTGTCAATCGTCCGGGGAAGCGGAGTACGCACGAGAACCACCACTGGGGTAGAGGGAAAGGGTACAAACGACGCAAAGTTCGCCGCGTTGGTCACGGATTGCATTCACCGGTTGTCGTCGTGTTGATGCAGCGGGTTGCCGCGGCTGGCGCTGCCGTCAGTTCCCGAGTAGTTTTGCTAGTTGTTCAGCTTCGTTCAACTTCATGGGGTCGAAGCTGGGGCTTGTTCTGGCCTCCGTCCGCGTGTTGAAAAGCTCTGTCACGCTGACTCATCATGGTGTGCCCCGATCCCGCTCAACTTACCAAAGCAACGTTCTTGTAAACTTCGGCTATTAAAACAGTGCTGTTCCTATTACCGTAATTACTTACTATTATTTTACTCCTTTATCATATAAGAATTTCTTTGCGCTTCTGCATTGGTTTACTATACAGGTTGGAGAATTCTGGTTCCCGCAATGTGTGTGTATGTGTGTATGGTGATTTAAACAGCTAATAAGCGGATAACATTACAATCATAATGAAACAAATGGCGTATACTACTTTCTTGATTTTTTAATCGTGTGAAAGATTCACTGGACAATCGGGAGCCGTTAGATCTACCAGATCTAACAGTAATCGAGGTTCGAACCCAAGCGTAGACCTACGGTTCGTTTCGTGTTAGGAGCCAGCTGTTTGACGACGGTGCCTAACGTAAAACTCGAACCCTTTTGGTCTACCAGATCAATCACTTCATCGCCAACAAAGATCGCTTCCCTAATTCTTCCTCGCTGCTCATGTTTATAGAAGGAAGAACGTTAAGTCTCAGTGTTTGCATGTGTCTTCCATCGACAATATTGTGGCGCATCCTCCACGACGCTCCCTTATAGCACCAGCCCCACCCTTTCCCTTGATTTCGATCTTACCTTACGAAGACGATGCCGCTGCCGGGTTGCTACTGCTGCCCCCTTGTTCTATTAGAAACACTTCGAAGTGTGCTTCGCTTCCTTTCACCAGCCGCTCGTGCCGTTGATATTCAATGTGCTTATTATTATTCACTTCTAAAACTGTGCTTGAGAAACTACCTTGTAAAGATTTTTTTTGTCCAACTGAAAATTTGCTGTATTCGTTAAGTAAATCTTCAGTTGGCAAATAGTAATCCTGTTTAGCACTTCACTAGAATAAGTCGTTGAAAAAGTGAACTAAGTGAGCGCACTCCACAAAGATCACTGATATTTCAAAAGAATAGTCTTCACAACGAACACTTCCAAACGTGTCAGCGTTTGGTATTTTATTTCGTTTTTTCTTGAATTTGTTTCCGCGCCCGCCCTGCGCTGTTCTATCGTTCTTTAGGCAGTGCACGGCCCGCTAAACAAATAACATCAGGTATTAAACACTGAGGACTTCTTCACTACAACTTCACTTTATGTAGTAATACTGGACCTCAGCCAGCCAATTGAACTGTAGCTACTGTTTCAATATTAATTGTAGTCACTTCGTCGATCGCTGGTTTCGATTCGTGCTAGCTACCTTTTCAGAGCAGCCTTGCTAGAGTTGTTGTTACCGACAGCGTCGCCGTGCAAAACATGGAACCCGCCTGTCGAAACGCTTGGCTCTACTCTGTTAGGCGATAGTTGCTTAGTTAGTCGGTCTACTGTATGGATACTTCTGCTGCTGATGGTTCGCTCGTTCAACGCGACGGCGGCGGTAGCGACGATTGAGTTAGCTGCCAACAGCCTCGTGGCTTAAGCAAGGGCCAGCAGTAGCAGGGAGACGGACAGTAGGCAAGCGGCACACGCAGGCCGTGCCGGCAGCGGCCAAGAGTCTCTTTTGAATGGGAGAAGGTAAAGAGGGCCCCGGGTGAGGGACAACAAACTACACACACCTCCGCCATCACCATTATTAGCCCAGTAAAGTCGCACACCATCCTGTTGGACGTATCGCAACGGACAAATGGTAAGCTTCACAGTAATCAAATGTCAGATGCCGAATGCGAAGCACCGTGAATATTTTGTAGGAGTTCCGACGCCAATACACGCCATCTGCGCCACGGTTAAACTTCAGTGTGAGTCTATCTGGCATCTGTTGATATGATTTCGATCGTCTCACTTCTACAAATTTACGGCAATAAGGTTACGTACGGTACCTTCGAATAGTAATACGTATGTGGTATATCTGCCATATAAGGACGATTTGAGTGCTGGCGGTGCCGTAGTGAATAGGGATACGCTGTACAGTGATTTATGGTTCTGTTGAACCGGTAGCTCACATCTGTATGATCCTAATACTTGAGCGGGGGCATCGATATCGGGGCATCGTGAAAACCGCAGGCCGTAGCATATGGAAAACGAAAAAGATACGTGAGTATTTTGAAAATGTTCGTTGTCTCCAACTAAAGCATCTGTGTGCGCGCAAAAAGGTTTTTACCCTTACCTTCTTTTTGGTTTTTATACTGTCGCTTTACTGACGATTTTCAAATGGGGTCTTACTAAAGAGACGTATTGTCTTCAAAGATCCGTTGTGTATTCATGCTCGAATATGAGAGCAATGAGCGCGAGCTACTAATTGTTGCATTATATTGAAATATGATTTATTTGATAGAAAACGTTTAACAGTGACTCAATATGTGTGATTTGTCTTTTATTGAAGCAGGCGTACTGTGCCGTTTGAATCAAGAAGCATCGGTAATAGCGTCGCAGACAACGGAGCTCCTGGAATTCATACTTTATAATTTTCTATAGAAGAGTGCATAGATTTCTTTTTCGAGATAACTTTAAATAATTATCATAAGATAAAATTTCGATGGAAGTTTTTTCAACCAGCATAACCACGGAATGCTCAAAGTATTAGTCGGCGGCTTCCTAGCTCAGAGAATATTTGGAAGTTGACATATATTTGATTATTTCTATTGCAATATCAAAAACGTGAATTTTACCGTTTTACTACTAAGTCCATAGAAAAATATAGTTTGTCAAATTATAATGGTTTCAGCCAGAAACTGGGTAGCTAAACGACTAACCTGGTCACAGATCCGGTACCCCATTAAGAACTCTACAAGGTGTCCTGAAAACAAAAGCAATGTTTTTCCTAATTACGACACACAAGGATATTCAAAGATATATAATTTTCGTAATTTTATGATCTCATTCGTCTTTTTCGGATAACTGAAGAAAATATGATTAGATCGACAATTAGGCAATTGAAACCTGCACTGCGGTAATATCGGAGACAGAAGGTACTGAAGTAAAATAAAACTGCAGAATAGAGCTGAGTGATTTCAAGCGCCAGAACAATGACGTCTATCGGTCAAATTGATTACGGAATACTGCGTGCGGTGGTACAAACGAGAATTGCATCTTATATGTAGTTTTTTATATCTTCGCAATAGTTGGTATTTTTTTACTATTTCTAATGCTTTTTCGAGTAAAAAATGCCGAGTTCTGCCTCTTATCACAAATTTAGGTACCTTAGTGACCAGATGCTTTTTATTAGGCTCCTTGAAAATTTTTTTCAAAAAGTCTGCCCCGGTATCTTCGAAATCGACTACTATAATGATCTATGGCGTTTACATGTCTAGAAAAAACACAAGGAATAAAAATTCTACTATATTTGGCGTGGAGTGAACGTTAAAATTTTCGTTTTGTATTAGTGAGACGCTATAGCCTTTTTTGGCACGAAGCTAATTTTTGTCTGTAATAATTTAAGAGCAGTTCCTATATAGCGTATTGCCCAAATATGTCAACGCTGTTTATTTAAGAAAGTCGACTCTTAATACGAATCGACAGGACAACAGATTCACTATGACCGAAATCGACATTTGAGGACTAAACAAGCACGATAAGTTATAAAAGGTGGCCTCAAAGGCCTAAGACCAACAGAGCTTCAAGCTACACATAAAGTATATATATCTTCAACGTTAAACAGGACCGATCATAATAACTCATAGATTACCAATTATGTAGAACTGGATATATTGAGCGAGAGCGAGATGCAGCGACCGTTATAGTCAGGGTGTCCAAGTCAAGCCATCTGTTTTGCCAATTTTAGCGTTGGTCTACACGTAACGTCATCTCGTAATATGCTCAGTTTTTTTTTGAGGAGTCTAATAAAATTAAAAAAGGAATAATAAAAGATTCTTAAAGTTCATATTAAAAAGTGTGCCTAGATATTTACATCGGCATAATTTTCTTTTTTTAGTATTTATTTTATAATATATATGGTCAAAATAATAGTATAATAAAGTCGTACAATACAAATAAGGTTCTATATAAAATATGTGAGCTCCCAGTTTTCAGAGGTTCTACAGGCCAACTAATATACTGAATCAGAAGTACACGGAGAAAATATAGCATGCAATGCGTTGGTCTTGCTAGGTAGATTTCAATCTAAGCACACAGATATTAAGATCATTCAACTTCACTATTTGCTAAAAAGAACATGTTAGGAATATGTATTGTTGTATTATGCGTCTTTTTGACCGAATAATAGCGGTAAGCCGAGCTGCTAGGTTCACTGGCTTTTTTTGCACAGAGATCACGCCACAAAAAGTGCGTGTTGAGACAGTTAAACAAAAAACGGATGCTTTATGGACGATGTTTAAACTTGGCGGTCAGGTAATATACAGTGAATGACAGGTTTCCATGCAGACGTCCATGTACGGTGACTTTTGCAGCCAATGAGGATTGGCGGAAAAATGCATACGGTGAACCTCTTATATGAGTGATAACTCTGAAACCTTATTTATCTCTTATCATTTCCTCACTATGCTCTATCAAAACTATAGAACAAAAATTCAGACCTTAGTGTTGTTATAATGCAAATTAACAGCAAAGTTCAGAATAGCATGGGTCGTCGAATTGGTGTAAATTAGACATCGTGAGGGTATCTCACACTGGAGAAATCAGACCGTTAAATTTCCAATTTTTCCGCAGTCTTCCCGTAAATACTGGCTGCCGAAATTAGCCGACACTAAAGAAGTGTTTCTGATTTTAGAATAGCAAGTGGAAAGGACTTACATAAAAAGAGGCATTCACGATTGCCAATGAGAGTGTTGAGTGGCTGAAAGAGTATTAAAGGCTCAAGTACGATTCCTTGTTTGATGCTGGAGGGCCCTAGTCATCTGGTAAAATTTAAAAAGATGGTACGTAAAGCTCAGAAGCATTTAGTATATTAAGGAGCCCTAACACTCCCTGATCAGCAAGTAGGACATTGTTTATTCCTTCTATGGCGGGAAAAAAATTATACGGCGTAGTCATCGTCAACTTTCTTAGCAATATAATTTGGTTAATTGTCATTCTTGCATGAGATTATCATTTCTACATGATAACTCTCAAATAGTCTGAAATCTAGCTTGCAAAAATATCCTGGCTTAAAGATATTTTGAAAGAAGGTTTGTGAAATTTAATTGCCAAATTGATTGGAACAATAGCAATAATAACAATAATTACAATAACCCTAACCTAGTTTAATTATTCTGTGATGAATGAGACACACAATAATTCATAACAACGCGAGATATACCGTTGCACTACGATGCCTATTCTGAGATAAACGAATCTATTATTAGGAATATATAAAAATATAAAGTATCGTATTCATAGACGTGAGTCAACATCTATGTGAGGCCAGAGAAAGTGTCGGCAGGACGATCGTTCTTGTCTGCCGATAATTAGATCTACGATGGTGCACTTTATTTCAGTGGCAGCGGTGGGATGAGCAGGAGTTAGCATCAGTATGTTTAGCTGCTGAGAGCCGACCTTCTACACGATTGTAAAACACCAGCGGAGTTGATAGTCGGTTAGAGTAGGTCGGATCACTGAGTCGAAAAGTCTGAGCGTCTCGACGCTGGTCGGGTAGCGCTACGGGTGCGCAACCGTAGACGAATCGGCGCGAGCAAGGTATTGCAGGTTGTAAACACAAAACTTATAGAAGTGCTTTAGAGGTAAACTTTTCAAACACTCTTTGCCAGAATAATAGGGAGGGTAGTTCCTCGGCTAGACCGAGGAAAGCGATATGTTCCACTAGCTCGCGTACGCAAAGCAGGCTCTGTTAGAAAAAAAAAGACTAAAAATAGAAGCAAAGAAAAAACACCGAACAGTCGAATCTTGCCCCTTTTTTTTCGCACACTTAGTATTGACGATGCCAATTCTTGGATCTATTCCAGTATTACACACCAAATGTCTACCCGTTCGGAAACACCGCAGGCATGTTCCGTAAAGCCAGCTCAGTATCTGCAAGGCCAAAATGCGAATCAAAGTATAGCACTTACGAGCACGACTTTCGGATCTTCTAACCAGTCTGCTAGTCCTGCTCCATGTCAGCACCATTTGTATGCAAAGTCGACGTGTGTCCGCGTACCGCACGTCTCCGAGGCGACGTCTAACTAAGAGCTCTCATTAAGCTGCACCAGTTCGTCGGCTGTTACCGGTTAGAATTGGTAACCGTGTTGCAAACTGAAAACTAACTCTAGTAGTTCGCGCATACGAAAAAGATATGGTACCGTTCCGGGCGGATGGAATTGCATTGTTTTCTCGATAAGGCAAGTTGCGATTATATGATCCTTTGGCTCCAAGATTGCTCGACAGGAGAAACCTCGCTTGAACTCATGGATATATCCTCAACGGTAATATTTGCTACAGGAGGAAGCAAAACAGTGATCGAACACTGCTCGTTGTGGATGTTTGACGAGGTAAGCCTTGTCTTCATAAAGACAAAAGCGGGCGTCTGCAGGCGTCATTCATGCGTTAACCAACCGGCTTACTCTAGGCTTCATGGACAGCGCCAAAAACATGCAACGCAGCGGACCTCGATCACATCGAAATGCGAAAGCCAGTAGTAACCAGAGTTTCAGCCTAGAAGCATAGTACGACAGCTATCTCGAAATAAAAGGTAAAAGACGATGTCTTGTATTACAAAGCGCGAGAAATTTCTGCAGGAAGGGTAAGTCTGGCCAAAATGGTACAAATTGTATTTTATTTACTTTAAATAACAAAATACATCTTTATTCAAGGGTGAACTGGAATAAATAGATATGATATTAACGAAAGCACAGGAACGTCATGGATTCAATTTTTTTCAAATAAACTAAAAATATGCTTCTGACTGGAACCAGTAACTGTTGTATGGTGGTGTGATCCTGGTTGGAAACGCGTTACGCAGAATTGCCTAATAGAATGTTTACGAAGCCATCTACCTACAAGCGACAGAAATTAATGTTTTTTTTTTAATTAAATCATACGTTTAATGTATGTCATTAAGAGGACTTAAATCAACGACCTCTAGCTGTCTTAGCCAAAAGTTCAGCCGTCAAAGTCGAAACTCCCATGCAAAATCCTGATAAGTAAAGGACGTATTTATCAATTAATATATTAAAATATATAATATATAAAAAAAATATGGTTAACATATTAACCATATTTTTTGTCTAATCATAATTATTATATACTGGTATCAATAGTTATGGTTGTTAATATAATTACATGATATCTGCGAACCCTATTATAGTTTATTGTGGCAATAAGGGCAGATTCAGGAGCTGTTATTATGCCCGTCCCGGGAGCTTTAGGCAAAGAGCTTTCAATTACTGGTACTCCATGTAAAAGTTACAGCAATGCAGTACTGGCAACCATTTCGAATACCTAACAGATAAAACAAATTTAATGATACTCAAGCAAGTCAGAGGTAATTGCGTGGTGACCAAAATTGAGAACTTAGTTGGGGATCGAAGCGTGAAACCTTCTGGTCGTGATTCCGGCCAATGTACAGCATTAGCACCGCAGCCAAAAGCAAACTACTAGATAATATCTTAATGCTAAAAATATTTGTCGACGACGCTCTTTCGGTAAGTAAATAAAATGTAGTTTTCTAGCTTCGACTCGTTAAACTTTGGTGCGAATTTCGCTAACGACACACCAAGTCACTGAAATATACTTTTTTTTGTGAAATTTACCGAGCTTAACTTCTTATAAAATATTAGTCTTCGGAGTAATACGAATAAACAAACGGGCAAGAAAAGACGATAAAAACAAATTCACTGCTTATTTTAAGGGTGCGTTAAACTATGAGGCTACGAATTGCACAAATACAAGACCGGTTCAGTGGAAGTGTCAATAAGGATTCAGCGAAAACAGGCGAAAATGAGGATTGAATTAACGAGAAAATGTTATCTTTTGGTTAGGTATATGAATGACGACTGTTGTGCGCTAGCAGACAACAGCTATTGAAAATATTCTTTCTGCTAAACATGCTTTTAGGGACTGAAACAGTTCTGACAAATTTTAGTTGGAGCATATATCAGAATATTGGTAGATGTGAGCATAATGCGTGTGCTATATTCGGCAGTAAAAGCGATAGCAATAATGAAATAGTGTAACCGAAGAGGGGTGACCATTCGTGGACTGATACGCAAGGACATTGTTCTCGCATAGCCGGCTTTTCATACCGTAGAAGCCGGCACTGCGACGCTGCGCTTATCTGATCCAGACTACACTAAAACTGAATCCTATGTAAGTTGTTACCTAGGACAACACACTTCTCATTGTCAGTTTCTACAATGCATCTTTAAGGATCTTCTTGTACCTACATATCGGTACCAATGCTATTCAATTATCTTAGGAATTAAGTATTCGTTTAAACGACAATATAACGTATGCTGACAAATCAAAGTGATCCCTTGTTATTTCATGCACCTTCACCATAACTTTTACATAAAAATAGGCACGCTATCGTATATTCATATTCCCAAAAAATATACTCTCGAAGCTTCCACTTAGTAAAGGTTTCAAGCAGCCGGTTCGAGGCCGAGTGGCCTTCTCCAAGCTTCAGCCTAAGAATTATTCATTCTATGAATATAGAAAGCAACCTATTTTTACCAATTAATTTACAAGGTATATAGCCGTACGGCTTTTTACACGAGGATGAAATTCTTCTTTGAGCGACAGCGCTATCACCATTTCAATCGATGAAAATCAAAGTTTTATGAAAAAATCAGGCACGTTTAGCCTTACTCTATTTGTCGAGAAGCAAGTATGTGAGATATTCAGCTGAGCAGTACAATCAGTTTAACCTGTACACCGCACAATGTGATGAACAGCTTTTTGTACAGCATCTTTGTGTCTGCAATAAACTTACACTGCGAAATCCAACGTATAATTATCATTAATATTTAGTTTGTTATTTTTTAATATTTAGTCATATCAGCAAAACATTGGACGAAATAACTCTTGTGACTAATAATAATAAGTAATATGTAATAAGCGCGTTTCTGGCTACCATTATGTAATCGGCGACTAGTGCATGGCAAGTCCTAACTGAAAATAGGCTGCGGCCTTTGTGAAAAATTAGACAGCAACATTAACTGATGAACATGAAACATTTTTACAAATAACGTCAGTTGAATGTCACTAATACCGTTTATTCACTAAGATCAGCGACCGTCATTTTCTTATGGTCTGCGATGGGTTCGATGGGTTGGGTGACATTTCTGAGAACACACACACTGTTTACTCGGTCCGTCATAGTTGTTTTACGTATGCTTCTGCTACAATATAAAGTATATATCTCTAGTCGTCGACTTTGGATAAAGTGTATACGGTAGATTCGATGGTGCTTTTTCCCTTTCGAAGTCTATTGACTTGTTTCGCTAGTCCCCTGCTCTTCTTTTAATGTCTGTTTTTCTAATAATTTTCATCTGTCCTCTATTATTTTGTATCCGCCTATGTTGTTCAATACGAATAAGTCTTCATAATCCTATTCAGAGGTGTTAGCACCAAATGATTGCTGTGCGTAAATACTGTATGGATGTTGTGTATAAATATAGGCCCTATTTATCAAGTAGGCTACATGTTAAAAATATTAACGTGATAAACCTACACACCCACATATATACGGATCACACATATTCCATTTTGATCTGAATATACAGTTTGTCTAGTACTTTTTTTTATAGAAATATATTACCCAAAAGCTATTTAAACTACACAAAAACGAAAATGTGATACTCTATAACCTCAGAAGACACATTTTCAGAGAAGGCGCTTCTTTCGAATTGAATGTTCCAGGAATAGGAGCTCTAAAAGGACAAACGAGGGAAATAGGCGTCTACTCGTAACAAAAAACAATCGCATGCGACAGTTAAACAAAAAAACGCATCCAATAAGAGCAGCTCTGTTGACCACCTCAAGGCGGGCAAAGGAGTGTTTAGGGCTTCCAATAAGAATTCTGGTTATTTTGAATTATAATACAATATAGGGTTGTATCTGTCAAAAACAAGATGGCGACCCAATATTGTTTCATTGAGTCGAAGTACGATGTACAATGAACTCAAATGTGACGAACAAATTACATCAAGTTCACGCGTGTAATTTAAAAAGCCAAAGAATTAAACAATTGTTACAATATGCATTGGAAAACTGAGTAAAATCGGTGTGAACAAAGTAGATACAACGGTGCAGCATTTTATTGACGCGAGATAGTATAGAAGTATGAATATAGATGGAGCGGCTCGTTTTTGTTTGGCGTGTAGGACGCGCTGTTTTCAAATTCTTGATCCGTGTGATTATTTGAGAGCGCGCACAGTCTTTTTAGGGGCGAGCTAGAATGATTCCCAGTACTACGTTAAAAATGTCATGTTTACAATCTAATGATGGATAATTAGTTATCCGATTTGTAATGACAGATGATTTTTAACGATCCTTCAGCTAATCAAGTTCGATTCCGTGCGACCGGTTCGCCTAATAATAAATGAATTCACTCAATCGTAAACGTCTTTTGTACATACTCAAACATTTAAAGTAGTGTTTTTGTTAACCGTTGTCTGAAATGATCTTATACATTTTGTACAATATACTGATTGCAGTAGTTACTGTATACTACACCCGATCATGGCAACTTCAAGGCTACACATTATATGAAAATTTCGCTCACCAAGGTACCTCCTCCAAAAGCTCAAGCCACGTGTTGTATTAATAAAGCACGAACATAAAGGACATACCTGACTTTTGATGGATATTCATGGATAATGTATTTGTATAAACACCGTTAGACTGCCTTGATAGAAGTCATTTTCGTTGTGGAATTGTCAATTGTAGATATAGGGCGCCAAATTTTAATTTATCCTTATAGAGATCAGGATATCTTTTCAAGCATTCGAACGGTTGAGGTATTTACATGCTCGATAGGCTCAAATCTTCCTTACCATATGTTTGTTTGTGTTCTGCTTAAAATGACTTCCTACAATAATTGGCTAGTCCGAGTGCCTATTTTTCAATATTAGCCGGTATCGTCAAAGGTATTTGGTTCGGAATGTTTACAACGTCAGCAAGAAGATTTTCCTGTTTAATTAATAATTACATATATTGTTTTAGGTGATTCATACAGTCATAGTAAGATTATGATCGCGGCTTATTAGCGGTTCACGTGCTACATGTATTATATCATCTTGAAGATTCGTAGTTGATAGTAAAGCTGGATTTCAGTTCACTGAGTTCTGGTAATGTTTCAACGACGGGTTGGGTGTTTGTATGACCTTCTAATTTAAACATCTGCGAAATATTTTTGGTGACATTAATGCATTTTCAAAGATTGTATTCACTTAATAGTCTGTGTGTACATACATCTCAGATCCTCGTTACGACCACAGTTCCACGCCGTGATAGTGACCTTAACCTTCAATACAATATATATATATATACCGTTATTTTTCTTAGTATTAGGCAACTATATAATTTGTATTTGTTTACCTCCCTTTCCTGTCTTTCGTTGGTGCTAGCATTTGCCAAGCAATTCTCGTATTTACTATATGTATATATATATATCAATTATACAACTGACAGGTGACGACAGCATGAACTAAGGTTGATCTTGTATTTCGTGCAATTTAATCACCATATTGTCATTTGCATAAATAATCAGAGTAAAGTTTTGTGCTTCGCGAAATCTTCACCGAACCGAACCAATGATTTAAATGAACGGGGTCGCCCAAATACTAAAAGCCTGTTCTTCTTCGAATATTTGTAGATGTTTGTTATTTCAATTTATATCGTTAGATGTAAAATAATAAATAGTACTTAATTAGGCTTCCAGCAGTGCTCATCGCCTGTTCAATATAAAATGTACTCTTTTTTTTTCACTTTCTTGGTTGAGGCATCCCCAGTCGTTTCCTCGAATACAGCCGCTCAAGAATGAACGAATGAATCCGATTCTTCACTTTCTTTGAACTTACGCTTACTATCCGTGATGAGCTAGTGAATCGACTTATAAGGAATAAGCTGGCTACGCAACTCTATATGCATACGCGAGTAAAATCTAGTACTTTATAGTTGTAAACCTCGAGGGTCATTACGGCAATATCCTTCCCAAACTTCTGTTATGAGCAAATAGATCACAATCAGCGTATGTCTTCCGGTTAACGCAAAGATTCCTCCTGAGTTGTAAAGCTGATATCCGGTCGGAAATAGAGCGGTCGAAAAGAGAAGAAATCGCAAAAGCACGTTAACGTGAACAATGGTTTGCCTTTCACTACAAAGTTCTCTGGAATGTTGTTGGCCTTAGTAAGGTGCAGCAGGCGGAACCAAATGACGGAAACATTAACTGCGTGAGATATGCGCTTGATATTTTCATAGTAATCAGTTAAATACCAGCCAAAGAGAACTAGCATTAAAAGCGCACAGCCTTTTAGCACAGATGAACCAGTCATTGCCATAAGACCGCACATACAATTACAATGAAATACCTCTATAATATGATTTCAGACTCTTAGTTACTACTATCCGATGGTCATCTACAATGCTGAAACTTGTAAAAACACGTAGTGTCGTGTGAAAAACGAGTGAAGGTTTTTATCAGTGAATCTTGAAACACAGTATGATTCTACATAGACGAACAACTGCAAAGTCATATAAAATCGGTAGTTTTAAAAGTGTGTACACAGGTTATATTGTAGAAATGCATCACAGGTTTGAATAGATTATTATCCGATAGACTACACAGCCAATGTTTGGAATAGAACACTAAGTGATTTTGAATATTAAATGTTAAAACAGATCGTTTAGAAACAATAATTTAAGAAGATAAATTGTTTCTGATGGATAAAAAAACTCAGTGTACTTTACACCAGGATTAACTGCCATCGTTTTAAGGTTACATAAAAGTTTACAAAGGAAAGTAAGTGAGCTTCGTACAGCCTGAACTCGATGGCTGCGCTGCCAATGCGCATCAAGGGGCCACGATGCGTGACCGAAGTGACAATAATTATCGTTACACCGCATCTAAGATCCCTTGTCGAGGTTCGTTCGTATTGGGATTGAGTTATTCCGTCAGAGGATATCTCATTTTCCCTTCCTTTACGCCTAATAGAATATTGACACGGCATAAGCAGAACATTGCAACTCCTTCATTGAGATGGGTCTCAGGTCTACATCTTGCTTAGCATGCACAATCTTTTATCAAAAGAGCTGCTACCTTACAGTACCAAAACCCCGGGTAATAGCCAATTAACGGAATTGCTGTAACATTAATAATTCGCTACATAATAACGCAAAATTGCTCGTTGCTCATTTAATCCAAAAGTTAAGACAGTTATTCCATATCGATCCTGGTCGTATACTTCCGTTAAACTGTTGGTATTTACGAATCTCATACACTGTCGTGTTACACGCAACCATAATCAACTGTTGCAGGAGCACGATTGATACGAGGCAGGCGACTAAGACGCTGTACACAGCGCTAGTGAAAACCCACGCCGTTAGCCAATCGCCAAAAACGCCAGGACACGTTCGGGGTACAAGGAACATGCCCCAGAACATCATCGGCTGACAAAGAGACGTCAGTGTTAAATTCGCACCGTAGAACAGCCCCATCGCAAGAGTAATTAAGCCAAGAATAAAATATCGATGATTGTTAACCCCGATGCAGGTATCTAGCCAGATACAGTGGTGGTCCCTGCGTTGGATGCACACACCACAAAGGAGGCAGTGCGAAGTGCGCGGAGGCATTGGAACAAGACAGATAGCACAGCGGCCCTCACGAACAGCACTCACCCTGTCCTCGATTACGATCTTCACCTAAAAGTGCCATCGAAAAAATAGAAAAACTTGATATCATCAACGTGAGTACTTTTCTGTAGGGTTTAAGCGTCGGTGTCTCTCAAAGATTATCGCATTCAGCTTTATCATGAAGAAAGAAAATTTAAAAGTTAAATAAACCACCATGTTGTAGGTTTATCGGATTCAACAAAACAGTTAGACGTGACACACAGTTACATAGATAAAAGTCTACACTTTTTTCTTACATTTTACGTAAACAGTTTATAGAAATATTTGCAAAAATGCTACCCTTGATTCTCTGATGCGCTCATTCTCTCGATTTTTTTCTTCTATTTTTTATACGCTCAAGTATAATCTAAAGCCTAGTTTAAAGCAGAATATTTAGATTTGATGAGCTATTTAAATGGCAATACCTCCTCCTTATCCTCATTTCGATGAGGATTGAGCACTCCAGGATCAGTACGAGTTCGATACGCGCAGTAGAGGGCCGCCAATACCAAAACCGTCAAAGCCATGTTCTCTGAAAATAGCACCTACATACAACAGCAGCACATACATATATTAAAAAACGTATCTCTAGTAATTCAGCTATTAATAGCAAATACTGTATATATGTCTGACTTTTTGAATCTAGTTTATTCAAGCCACACAAAACATTGCTTGTCAACTGCCAAGTTTCACTCACGTAACTTAATCATTTGGCCTATCCTCAAATTCTTTCAGTCTTTAGGATGAAAGAATATAAAACTCTGTCCGCGTGATTCACGTAAGCAGTCGCGTAACCGATGGGCTATCTACGAGGACTTTACTATTATACTTCCGTACTTTAACTTTCATGGCAATACTTAAGTTAGCTTAATCATAACCCTTAAGACCTGCATGATTTTTTCAAGGCGATTCACATACGTTATCTCGTCGCAGTACATAAATTAATCATTCAACTGCAATTAACCGTAATGTAACTTTTTTCAGCTTTGCAGTATTCTCATGCTGTCTAGCAAATGTCGCTAACTATGGCATCCAAATTAAGTTGGGTAGAGTAATTTCTTTGACCAACCTTTAGTTGGGGAACGACAGCAAGTTGTAAGAGAAGCAAAAGTTGAAAATAAGAAAGAAGGCCCCAGACGAGGAAAAAACGTGAACGGAGTCTTTTTCGGTGGCAGTGTCCATGAACGATCCCTAGAAGAAGGAGCATGGTCGCTAGGGAAGTCCACATGGGCCACCATCCCTGACAGGCTACCCAGAAAAGTGCGAAAAACGATACGATAGCAAGAAGGACGTGTCGGTCGATTGGGCCTGACAGCCCGCAACATGATGATGGCCGGCTAAATACCGGAATCCTACTGAAAACAAAACCCACATAAAACAAAGATAATGGTTACTGTGTTAGAATTCAAACAAATATCCAGAACACAAAAGACGGATTCGGGCGGTAGCATTTATAAGAAGACTCCTTATGGAAATATTCCTAATGGCGTCACCGAGTTAGGAAATTTTTAAATTTCTCATAAATCTCCCACTGATTGAAGTAAATTATGCCAGTCCACGATATAGATGTCACTTTTGTGACCCGAACTGACCCTAATGGGGTCCCTGCTGCCGTACGATAAATAGAATATGAAGTGTCACAAATGATTGATGTTACGGTCCCAGCAATATATAGAGTAATATTTAATATTTATGCTATATTTCTGCGTGCGTACAGTATATATGAACATTTGCTTTTTTTAATGGAATATATTTACATTTATTTTATTTGTATTTATTTGTTGCTCAGTCTCCTTAAAAATCCCCTAAAATAACCCGAATAAAAATAAGACTGGTACGGAGCTCTTTAATAAAAACGTATCAATTTTATAGGGCATAAAAACTTAGTAACCTTCAGACCACAAAAACAATAATATAATTAGCCTCCTTTGAATGCGTGTCTATAACAGAAAAATCTTCGTTTTATCAATATGCAATCACCAAAGACTTGATAAATGACTGACCACCACTTGCTACCCACAAAGGAACCCATTTTTGTGAACTGACGACCATCTATTATTTACCACAAATTAATGCCACCGCTGCCGACCGTGCTTTACCCTTAAGGGCAATGCAGACAATTTACGACTTGATTATTACGTCGTTATTAACTTGCAAAAGCTATAAGAGATGAATTTTGGCGGGAGTGGGCCGCTTGCTACACATGACGTGCAATAAGGTAAGTCAATAGGCAAACTCTTGTATCCAGTTTTAGTAAAACGTTCGAAGTCCTGTAGATGTACACCTTAACGGGAATCTCTTTTGTTTTTAGGACTGTATCGAAATAAAAACAGACATTTCAATGATTTTTTTCGCGTGTACTAGAAGCGTTACTTCTGACGATCATGTTTGTTTAATATAATCATCATCCACCACGATTACAGCCTTAAACTTAATTTTAGGACTTAAACTTAATTTTAAATATTTTTTTTATCTTTTTTTCTTAAAATTAGACCATGCATAATCACCATATTAGGTAACTGTGCGTCAAGCAATATTGGTAAACGTAAACTTAGGTAAAGTGTCGCTCAAATAAGCTACATATGAAAAGTTCTAATAGAATTAAGTTTCGGGCTAATAGGAGGTCCCATATATGCAAGGAATCAAAGCGAGCACAAAAATTGGGTGAGTTAATAAGTTGGTATGTCAAACTGTTAGAGCTTATTTGGACGGCTCAACTAGACATTGATATTTTCTCTTCTAAAATGGCCGTAAAGTTTTATAACCAAAACGCTTTTTGAGACGATTTGATTAAAGTTCGAGCCTTTAAATTTAAAATTTATTGAAGATCTTAGGATATGCCTTCCTCTGGCTTTTGGTAGCGATATGGAAACTTGCATTAACGTAGCTTGTCTATTTCAGACCAAAAAAAAAGATTCTTTAGATCTCCGAGGTTTTTCTAGCCCGGAAAATTGGATCATAGCTGATTTTCGCTAAAAATTTGGGATACAACGGAATAATGTCCGCTACGACGAGTTTCTTGTCTGGTTGCGGAAGCAGCTATACTTTTGCCTGGTATCCGGAGTAGTAGACGCGCGAATTCCCTTTACGACAAGTAGTCCGCCAAGGTTCGTCCCAATTAATAATTTACCAATCAATAATTTAAAACCTATAAATTTGTCAATACGTCATTAATTAACTTTGATGCATTACAACTCGTATAAAAAATAAACTTATGACCATATATAAGTTTGTTTAAAGTAGTCACAGGGTGTTCAATAACTCCGTTCTACCCCTTTGAAAATTTTTCTCATGTAAACCCACGTAAGCACCAATATGTGCCTCTGAGAGCAAAAACAAAAAAAGTCTATCTTACAGAAACGCAAATTTTTTTGAAACCTTAGCAGAATCTTTAGATTACTGTATATATATATATATATATATATATATATATATATATATATATAGAAAACTACAATCTGACGATCTCTAGTATAACCTACTCATTATTTTTTTCGAACACTTATTACCACTTATTACAAAAAAATGCACGCAGGGCCATCTTTGAAGCAGAGTAATCTTTGAAGTTTGAAATGGGCTAAAGAAATTTGTTTTACAAGTTAAAAGACAGGAAGTATTTTTCTATCGAACCGTTTTAGTTAAAACCACGTAAAACGTCGACTTATCGGACTATATGCGAAAAAATGTCATCTCATTTTCGGAAGCTGTTTTACGTGTCATATATCTAATCATTCTATAAAAGGTTGCTAAGAAAAATACACCCTACATAGTCAGAAGTTCTACGGCGCAGTATTAACACTGGTCGCACTTACGGTGCTTCGAAACGTGACGTGCCTAAGAACAAATTAATAACATGTCCAACATGTCACCGTTCACTAAAAAATCTTCACAAAATACTTTTGAGCACTTTTTGAAGTTCGCTGATAAAAGCTGGGTAAAACGTATTGTCTTCTCTTTATCATAATCATCGTTCTAAATTTCAACGTTAATTTATGTTAAACACTACTGTCTCGTATTGTATTGTTTCAGTCTTATAGTCGTCGTGCTAAAAACAACCTGATATAACGAAGCACCGTCGCTTTGTTTGCTGTGGTCAGCACTGGTTTCGCTTTTAACCCATATTGTTCAATGACTGCGACTGCCTACACGTGTACAAGTTGTGTTTCGATAACTGAGACCTGAAATTCCACGTTGATTCTACAAAAAACACCACACTTATGTGTAGTATCTAACAAATGTGAGCTACGAAGCTTATACGCTAAGCGACTTGCCTGTGTTCTATTCACCCGTTACCAAAATCATGATATGGTCAACGTCATACAGCCTTATACACGACTGCACCTTCTCTAATTTAAACCCCAACGCTGTACATCTCATATGATCTGGCCAACTACATTATATTTCGTCGAGCTTAAATTGACAGCATGGCTAGATTGAATTGAGCACATAACGGGTATATGTAGGAACGTTCCCCGTATGCACTGCTATTTGCCGCGGCCAGCTTCTAACGATTACCATAATCTGAAGCATCTGCTTGACCTCACATGATAACTGGCTTGGCACGATATGTGGGGGCATATACCTACATAAACAGATCTACTTTTATATTGTAAACATGTCGACATTGTAATTTCGATATGAGATAAATTTTATACTACAAATACGATGTAATAGACTTCAACGTTTGTTCGATAGCAATTTCATGCTGATTTTCCTTAATGTTTTATGTGGCCTGATGATTCGTTCTGGCATAGCTTGGTCTTTTTAGAAGTCTACGGTACTGTTGTTTTAAGATGTAATAATACATAACGAGTATCACGTTTTTGCTAACAAATTTGGCTACACTAACGATTTAGTTCACTAAATCCACTTAGTGAAACCGTCGACCCCAAAAATGATTTTATAACAAACTCGGTACATAATATATTAAATATATTACTGGTCAATACTAGTCCAGTGATGTGCTCCGTTCAGCAATCAGTTCTATCGACCAAATAGGTTGCCAGTTCTATTTTCTACTCCTCCGTACCCTAAATAAATGGGTTGACCTCTCATGAGTAATATTGAGGTTTCGGGAAGTCACTGGAATTGGCTCGCGTGTCGTTTGAAGGTGAAAACATATATTAGCTGACCTTCACCATCCTGATGTTGGTTTTACGAAGGAGGAGGAAAGCTTGGGTCGCGCAAACCTTACTGAAATGTATTACTCATTATTTTTAATTATTACGGAAGTGAACATCTTCGCTTCCATAATAATTATGAATATCACATTTAACAAGAATATCCAGCCACACTGACATAAATATTTACCTCTATGTAGAACTATTTTTGGTATGAATGTTTTTCACCCGCAGAGAAATTAAGAGGACGCCCCAGTGGTTGCCCACGTCTGTATTATTCAGCGTGAACTTACACCGCGATAAAATGGGCAATGTCAACCCACTGAAAAATTACACACATATTATAAAATGATGAACTGAGTTTTATTATATCTGGAAGCTGGGCAAGTTGGCCAGGCGAAATAAACATCGCGCGCTATTCCACATACACTTTTTTTTTGGGTCTTTATATTAAATACCCGACCGTTCATTTTAATTATGATTAATTAGAGTTTTAACATAAACATCAACCGTATCACGCTTGAGGTAAATTTCCGTTTGAAATCAAAATCGTTGTTTCAAATTTTTATAATTTTTACTGATTGTATATATAATAATTAAGCAATATACAGTTTATAATTAACAAGCAGATTGTCACCTAGATTAATTATTTCTTTTCTTTGTCGAACATTTTCTGGTTTTTTTTTCCATATATAAAAATAAAATTATTACCATCATATTAAATTTGAAAAATGTGTGGACACGTTCCTCACGCAAAAATCCAGCTTATGTAAATAGTAAAGGTTACGTAGAAATTATCAATGTGTGAAGGTTAGCAGACATATATGTTTAAAACTCCGCGATGCTATAAAAGCTGAAATATCGATGTACGTCGATCTACGAACCAAATGATACAACGAGCCAACGTGAGATATCTTATTCTACCGGGAAGTTTACATTCCGTTATACATTAAGAATTTGAAGGCTTAAATGTAAATTTCAGTCTCTATCACAAAGCAAAAAATCTTTACCATGAAGAGCGCAAAAGAACGTGTGCAACTAGATTAATACTATAATGATCTACTTTCCATTTTCCCTATTGCTTTCTTATATATCATTACATTTTGAATCTATTTCACTGTAAATATAAAAAGTATAGCTTATAATTGATGTTTGAAATTATCCTTAAATAGAACTAGATTGGTACCGAAGCAATTAGCTTAACGGCTTTTTTAAATCTATACTTTAAATTAAACAACGTTTGCTTTATTCGGTCCTAATAAGTGCATAGAGAGAGAAGAGGACGGCTGATGGTTATAATCTAGAATTGTTAGCCTGTACTCTTTTGACGGGCTGCTGTAGACTTATGTCCTCCTAAACTGTCGATGCCAGTTTGCTTCCTGCCTCTTACTTGCGGTGTGTTAACAGCTTTTTGGCACCGAACAAATTCGAAGCACCGACAGCCCGGTGCTTTTAGTATTTAGAATTTAGTAAGCCTCACTCCTTCAAAATGCCGTTTATTTGTTCTGCTGTGGTCAACCAAAAAGCCAGATCGATGCTATCATCGACTTTTGATCACGGCCAGCGATCTGCAGATAACATCGGAACTTCAAACAATGTTTATAAACAAGAAAAGTAGCACCGACTACGGTTGTCTTGGTACCTTATGGAAATTCGGTAGGCGGCCGCACCATTCTTCAGCAGCAGCATCATTCGGTTCATTGGCATCTTGAACCCAAACCTAATTATGAGCCGGTGTCGCAGTTCCACTATATGTCGACTCCACCCCCCACTGAAGACGTACAAACAATTATTCACAGATTTGCCCATATAATAAGCGAGTTAAATCATCCATTTACAGTTCACATATTTTATGTTGCAATCCCAAAAAGATTGTTAACATTGTTGTTACTTAGATGATGACGTCATTGGCAATTAGTCACAGATTTCGTCCGTTCATTCAATGAAGGTGTAAGCACTACCTATGAATGATATATGGCCTTGAAGACGGTCGCAATCAATTTATGGCAACAAATCATTTCATGAGTGTAAATTGAGGGTCTGCTACCTAGAAGAGGTACCTTAAGATTTTAAGTCTCTAAAAAGGACACTAACGCGGTCGAACGTTATAGCGTACGAACGATCTGATATCCACTTAAAGATAATTCTGGTCTAGTTTATCATACTTTTCTTTATTTAGAGCAGTTCATATTAACCACAGCAGTTCTTTTAATTAGTGACACCACCTAAGTGCACTGAAAGTAGATAATCTTTCGTTCAGAGAAGAGTATGAAATTGACTCCGTCTTTAATTACAGGATGGTAAAGCCACATTACTATCATGGCAACTCGTACTACGGTCAAAAGCTATACAGTGAAGGATGTGGATGCATTCCGAATCGTTACGCCTAGAATCTGCGTCGGTAACTCAATATGCTATTTTGACCTCCTGGCGGTAAAAGTAAAACTGTAGTGTATCACGTTACTAAAACACTATCAAAACACATACTCAATAAACAAATGCGCATATCGAATCAACATCTTCGAAATAAGTCCCTTTCTTTATTCACACAGGTTGTGTAGAATGGCTCATTGGCGGTATTTGAAGCAGCGCCCCCTGCCAAGCCACAGCGTCGACTGCGTCTCTAAAATATGATCTTATTATGTGTACCTATTAACGACATATTTCATCTTGTTCAGTCATACGGTCAAATGCAGAACAGCGGAAATGGCTAACAAAACACAACAGTACTATCCTAAGAATGTATTTTATAACGACTTGTTTTTTTTCCGCGCTTGAGTAGTAGTCATTTCGAGTAATCTCCTCCAGAGCGTAATCTGCTCTATTCAGCAGTTGGTGCGTACACTTAGTTGCCTACACTACTGCTGAGGAAAGTTCACTTGTAATCCACCGTAGGTTATTTTCGCAATGAACAAATCTATACGTAGACACTGTCTCAGTGAAGGTTCCCATACCCATCGCGATTTCTACCGAGTCCTGAACCTAAGCCTGGCTAGGCACACAGGTGCGCGTTTCAAATAGATGTATCAATAACAAAAATTATCTTGTATTTACTATCTAAATCTCATACACAAAGAAATTTGAAACCATGTTCAACTTGCACGATTATTCGAACATCTGTTTTGATAAGTTGTTCCAAACTTTAAGTCAACAGCAAAATCGTCCAGGAAATTATACGCAAACTTTCAGACTATCAGAGTCCAATGAATGGTGTTATACTTCCATAACATTTTGTTAAATTGAGGGACTAACACGATAATAAAGGAGTAAATGGCTAATATAAGAAACGATACTCACATGCTTGGACGAGGCATTTATTAGGCATTCAATAAGAAAAAAAGCAGAGAGATAAAGTCGTCTTTTTCGTTCGATGAGAGCATTATACATTTCGGACAACTCTGGTTGTACTTTAGAGCGAACTTCGAATGAGCTCCAGTGAGTTTCCGGTAAGTTTCGAAGCACTGCCAAGGATTAGCTGCGTTTAATGTTAAATTTGCATAAACTCGAGATGGTCAACTTTTATCTTTATTACTTTTTCCATAATTCTCAAGTATTACTAACCTACTCATGTAGTCTATTTAGTAAACTTAAACGCATAGAAAACAAATCTGCATAAATGGTTGTGTTACGATATCATTTTAGCAGACGCTTTGTTTGCAGACGATGGCTGTTGTTGTGAAATCCGAGGAAAGGGGTGGGGCGATGAAATGTAAATAGTTGCTTTGTCTAGTGCGTCCCCAGTGTAGCGTGCATCTCAAGTGAGCAATAATTGCGACAATTTTATTGTTTTCATCTGCTGTTCAAATAGTCTACGTGCAGGAAGTCCCCTCCAGACTTCAAGGTACGTTCTGCTTCATCAATTAGAGTGTCGTTTGCTTAAAATCGAGCGAAAACACTCGACGCCCCTTGATATTAGTACTTTGATTCAGCGTTAGTATTTTATGAATGCGTTCTTTGCACTGAGGGCCTTTGTGCATTGACTGCTGCAACACAGAACCTGGAAAAGTCTTAAACGTAGTAAGGTATGATTCTTTTACTGCTTTTTTTTTGTGGGCAGAATGTCAAGACTGATCGCGGCATTTCATAGGTTACACAATGAAGCCATCAGCAGCGCTTAGTTGTCCGCAGACCAATTGGATTACTGTTGCACCTAAACCTTAATTCTACATGTAACAATGCATCTATTGCTTGGTTTGGGCGGTTAATGCCAATGCAGCAGCGGTTTTTGGTCTGTTGTTGGTGAACCGCAATGTCATTATCAGCTTGCAATATTGCCCTACCTTTAGGATGCGTCACTGTTGAACTAGATGAAGCATCATTGATATGATGGAACGTAATAGCGTTTTAAATTTTTAGTAATATATGATACCAAATACAGTGTGAAAAAAATAGATGTAACTGAATCTATTTTTGAATTAAGCCAAAAATTATATTCCTTGCTCATCATAATGAGGTGAATGAAACATGCGAGGCATAATGAATCGGTGTTGAATTGACTTTTCAAAATAAAAAAAAAAGAAAATATTATTTTTTACTTTAGATGGTGAGCTTTCGTAATGTAAACTTTTTCAAATGTTTTCGCGTTTTCAACAGAGATGGCTAGGTGACGTTCAAGGCCGTACTAGGGATAACAGGAATCTTGGTCATGCGATGCATACCAAATTCACAATGAGTTTCAGACAAAATATGTTTTGCGTATTTTTTGTCATTAATCCTTCATTTAAATATTATAAGAATAGATGCATATGAATTATAAATATTATTTGTGTGTATCTGAGAAATTCACCGAAAATGTGTTTAGGAAACTAAGAAGAAGACAATGTTAGTCATGGGAGCATTCTATCTTTATTGAACGAATAGTAACCATTTCTTTACACGCCTAATCATGCTGGATAAAAGTTTGTATTTAAGACGTATCACAACCAAAATCAAGCAGTTTTTCGTATATACATACCGTTCAAACAGTTTTCTTCTCTAAACTCTCGAAAACTTTGCAAAAATAGTGGCCCGATGGTTTGGGCGGCCAAGCCTCTGGTTGGAACAGTAACTTCAAATTTCGCCGACGACACGTGCTACGTTATGTAGGTTAACAAATATTGGCCCAAGTGTTACTGAAATACGCCAAACACACAGAATTCAGCGGATTTAATTTGTAAATGATAATCAACCAAAGGTCGCAAAATTCCAAGGTCAAAGTCGGAAAAGGTCTAAAAATTTTAATAATCTAGCTTATGAGGGCGATTCAAAGGTGATAGATACTGTGCTGTCGAAAAACTGTTTCGTTATTTTCGCACCAAAATCCTCGGAGTCTTAGGAAGCGGTAACAACGTCGATCTACGCTCCCAACCGTGAAGGTTTGTCTTGATAGGAACACACCGATGAAGGTGACAGCATAGGCAAGGTTTTTTGAGTGTTAAAAAATAAGAAAGCTTTCCCGTGGACTCCTATGTAAAAAAATCTTTTCAAACAGGTTTTTCAATAACGTTTGAGTGGCTGCGAAACATCTAAATGTAAATATCGCTCAATTTTTCAACCGTAACGGAATAAGTATAATAGTAATTTTGAAAGAGAATTTCATTTTCTTTATCATCGAGGCTAATATGGTAATGTATATAGTTGCCGCCCAGCAACGGCTGAACTTCTCGGGGAATATCGGTGCCTTTATATTGCTTACTTCGTTGGTTCTTCGAGTGGCTTAAAATTTCTAATAGACAGAGTTCTAAAACTAAGGATTAACCTTGAAATAGCGAAATAACTGTAAGGTTGGAACGGATCAAGGGTATCACAATGATAGCACGGTTGAATTGACGCAGAGGTGATTGGATGATAAAGGTAACGGAACGAGCCAAACAATGTGATCTAATTTTCAAAACAAGATAGTGATATAACGCAGTCCAGGAGTGGCCTAACAATGGGTTTACTTGAACAGATTGAAAATGAAAATTATAACAAGATCTCTCCATGCTTTGAGCGTAATAAATATAGCTGTAAAAGGCAACATTTGTATAACAGGGTAATAGGAAAACTGCGACGAGTCCATGTTCTGAACTCGGTTTTTGTAAGTCTCATTAGATTTAAAAAGATAACAAGGTGCTCTTGGTTAACGCCTGCTATACATAGCATTACTAGTGAGCATGCGCGCGAAAGGGTTTAATATATTCACAAGCCTCAGTGTCCATATGTGAAAAGTGGGCCTTGCATATGCGCGGCGCTGCTCATTATTACACAAATCGAATAGCCATATATATATATATATATATATATATGTGTGTATCGGGCTTCATATTGGTTCCTGAGTTCGTTAAAGAGCATTTTCAGATTTTTCATTTATGAATTTACAAACAGAATGACAAGTGCCTTGAAGAGATGAAAATCACATATAAGCTTTAGTTTCCAAAATATCCCTAACGAAGTACCTGCTTACGATCTAACATCAGCCACGGTAACGACTATTCAGCAACAATTGCGGTGTGCATGTTTGCTGTGTTTCCTCTGTAGAGGACCAATATCTAAATATTGTTTTAATAGTAGTAATTTATTGTTTTCCATTATTCTACGACTTTGTTTTATTCTAACGTATCTAGATGAGTGGCGACAAAAAGGATGACAGCAAGAAATCGTTGGATGAGCTATGGACGGAAGTCCGAAAGAACTCATCTGATTTTACGGCTTGGACGGCTCTCCTGGCCCACGTCGAACAGAATGTTCTTCTTGTTGGTAAGTAGTTTACGGCCTCTTGCACACCCGATAAGAATGTTGATTGTTGGTACAGTTAATATATATGTATATAAATAATATATTGCAATGCACTATTATCGATATTCGTGCCAGTCTGGAACTAAATCATATTTCCTTTAGTAGACTATTTAGTTAAATAAGTTATGGAAATACTCTCGTTTAAGCAAGTGAAACCTGAATTTGCAATTACAAAGTGAAGTCATATAATTAATTAGAACAATGGAATGGATTATAACTTTATCATTGGATGTTCATTTTCTCTCGCTTGAATCATGTTTTTATTCTTAATCTTACATATTTTCATTGCGAATTCCATAGGAATTGATTCTGTTCGCGAAGCATTCACAGCGTTCTTTGCCCGTTATCCATATTGTTATGGCTACTGGAAGAAGTTAGCTGATCTCGAAAAAAAGAATGTTCAGGACGGAGAAGAAATTGCTCTTGAGCGCTGCAGGGAAACCTTCGATAAAGGTAAAGTTAAAAGAAAAGTGTAATGATAACACTATTCTAATGAAAAAATCTTTAAAATACACCATTCTGTTTGAAATCATTTTTTGCGTTATCTATGATTAAAATTACATACACTTACCCTAATTGATAGTATGTTGAGACAGAGCATATACAACTCATGTTTTTATCGAAATTTTTCTGACGTAGGTTTAGAGGCCATTCCACTTTCCGTAGATCTTTGGCTTCAGTACGTAAGTTTCATGAAACAACGGGCGAAAGAACGTGGTGCTGAAGGTGACGTTGAACTGCGTGCTCTCTATGAACGTGCGGCCGATACGTGCGGGTTGGAGTTTCGGTCTGACCGTTTGTGGGATTCGTGGATTGCATGGGAAACGGAACAAAAGCAGCTGGTTAATGTGACTGCGATTTACGACCGACTCATTCGCACACCTACGCAGCTCTACCAGCACCATCATGACAAGTACGAACTTGACTTGTATTAATAATTGGATTTAAATCTATGTACATTTTTTAGGTGTTTCCTCCAGGAATTGATAGTTTATGCCTTGAATTAAATAGTGCGCCTTAGGCGGGTCTAAAAAAGTAGGCCGTATTGGGAGTTTCTTAAGAATCTTAGTACAGTGAATGACTAATTTGGACAAACGTTTGAATCATATTTTGAATCGATTTGGTATTTTTTCAATATAGGGATAGAAGCTCTTCAAATTAGTATGACAGTTCTTTAATGCACTCTTTTTCAAAATTGTAGATGACGTGCATCATTTGTAAAGATGTCAAAACGATTCTAATACGATATTGCTGACTTTACAGGCTCCAAGGCTTGTTAGAGAAGTATCCTCCGCATGAGACACTTTCCGAGGTAGAGGTAGAAGAGCTCCGTGCAGTCTACGACCAAAAAAAGGGCGAAGGAGCTATCGTTGAGGTAAAAGTTACTTATTTTAAATTTATCATTTAGAAGTTCCCCACGCTGCCTTCTATGGATGTTCAAAAAAACTGAAATGACAGTTTTTACTGATTCCATACAGCCAGCCTATATACGACAATAAGATAACACTGTTTTCTGCGTTTAGGAGGAGGCTTCATTCATCAAAAAAGAGGCAATGCAACGGCGTAAGGAGATTTTCAAAAAAACGGAAGAAGCCGTACGAACACGCTGGACTTTCGAGGAAGGGGTAAGTTTTTTTTTAACTCGTTAATATAATTGTCCTTCTAACAGCCTTCCCTCCGCTTTGTTTATTAGTAGCTGGTTTGGCACTTAGTAATAAGAAATAATGCGATATTATTACGTTTTTATATGACGTGGCATACGTAAAATGATTGATGTACAATGTTAAAATTGTATAAGTTGTTAATACCACATTATACAAAAAACATGAGAAAAACAATTGTGACATACTACAAGTATTCACATATATGTATTTTTGTTTAGAGGCTTATCCTAATCCATATTGACTTACCAACGATCCATCCATCCAACAGTCCATGCATTGTAAATACATAACAGCATTCGTTGTTCATTGTGTCATTAGCATTCATTGTGGTCGACTTCTTTTTCTTCTTCTTTAGAGAGAGAGAGAAAGTCTGTGTGTGTCGTGGTGACGCTGCTACCCTACCGCTGGGCCGATTGTAATATGATGATTGTAACGAATACCCTTTCAGCGTCAGCGAGCTCAGAGCATTTCAGCATTCTGCTACCACAGAGCTGAAGCGCAGCTCTCGAAGAGATCACTCCTTCTCAATACAGTACCGTTTCTCCTACTCTCTCAGTACAGAACTTCTTCTACCACAGAAGCTACCACTACTACCCCGTCTTACTATGTGCTTCCGCTTTGCGCTTGTATCATATCGTCGAGCCAAGCCAAATTGATCCCTGCTACGTGTAATTACAGTCGTTACAGATATCATACTTATTATTTTTTTGATCATAATTCAATTATCGCCGACGATATGCTTGCGGTCAATTTAAAGGTCAAAATTGTGGCTGGACGAAATAGGACAGTAATATTGCTACCAATACCATTTTCACATTATACTAGCAATAATAGATATAAGGAGGAGCAGCTGATTGCAAAATGCAACGTGCAACGGCACCTGTTTGGCCGCAAAATAGTATCAAATATGTTGTATATCTCGATAACTCAACTATTGCTAGCGCTGCCACTACAATTAAAACAACAACATCAGTTACGCATGTTTATAGCAGTCGCCTGTCTTTGGCTCAGCCGTGGTAGCCAGATGACAAATATTTTTACTGAATGTGTACATCTCAACAAAAAGTACTCATTATTGATACATGATAATACATGATATGATGATGATGACGATGATGTTGACGGCTAATAGAAGCTGAGCAACAGAGAGATGCGTCTCTGAGTGACACTGATTGACACTGAAAATGAAGACACACTAGTTGATGCTCCTGAGTATCACTAGAGAGGAGTTCGGCCAAGCCCTGGAGGTCATAGCGTTCATGGCTGGCTGCCGACAAACTGTCAAACTGACTGAGGTCTTGGGTGAGTCTGGAGGCAAGCGTTTTACTTGTCCGCCGTTATAGAAATGATTGATCATGATGACATTGTTGGATTGACTTGCTCATTCCACTATACGACTATTCAATGAACGATCCTATACTGCATATCCATTGATTATAGATCATAGATACTTTGTTATGGTATCATTATATTCGTCCTTATGGCTGTAGTGTGTAACTTATGGATTTGATTGGTACACATGTCTGCGTAATTTACAACGGCATGGCGCTACCATCAGACCCGGGCATCGTTCTGGGACTGTTGTGTACTTATAGGTAAGACCATCAACATATATGACATACAAATATAAATAGATAGCGTCTGTATACAGATATGCTATAGATAAGTGCACAAACACGACGAGGCGGCTTCTTCTGTCTAGGTAACCACTCTCGGCGGAATGATTCACATTGTCTAACTAGTGGCCTGTTACAGATTAAACGCCCCTACTTCCACGTCAAACCGCTGGAAAAATCTCAAATAAAGAACTGGAAGGATTACCTCGACCTTGAGATTGAAATGGGCGATCCCCAAAGGATCCGACTGTTATTCGAGAGATGCCTTATTGCTTGCGCGCTCTACGAAGACATGTGGATGAAGGTGTGTTCGCTAGATTTTGTTAGCGCATTTGCACCTTAAGAACGTTCGTTGTATATAGACCAATTGCCAAGCTCTTTGTATTAGTCTACGAGCACTTAATTTCACAACAACTTTGCTGTTCAGGTTAACGACTAGTTTGAAAACACTTTGTTTCTAATGATAAATGCAGCCTTCCTGTTGCTTCCCAGGATAGAAATTCAACTTGCTTATCTATTATTCATGTTCATAGTAAATATACGCGTATTTCCAAATTCAGAGTCAAGCCATCTTCTTTTTATCTTGATATTTATCTGTTTAGTATATCAGTTGGGCACAAAGCGTTGGCGACAGTGCGGAGTCGGTGCTGGCGCTGTTCAGGCGTGCCTGCGAAACGCATTTACCAAAAAAGGCCACTGTCAATCTTGCATGGCTAGCTTTCGTCGAAAAAAGTGGTAAGTACATACTGAACGGTTCAAATTAGCCCTGGAAGCTCCAACGATTTTTTGTACCTAGGCTAGTTAGTTATTCGTAGCTTATTAATGCAATTGTATAGGTAAAGCTGGTGGTCATTCGTGTAGCGTCGTCTATATAAACTTCGTTTAAGAGCCATTACATAACTTTTGCCTTTCCCAACACCGCATATGACATGAATTATGTACCTTGTTGATAGATTTAATAAAGCGCTAACAAAGTGATTGTCAAGAATTTGGTTATTTTAGTAACACGCTCATCATTTTTGGAATTTCTTCAGAGCGTGAAGGCTCATTGCCGGCAGGATCCACCGAAGCGTTATTAGGGCCAATGGAAGAGAGACTTTGTGGGGGCTCACCGGGTGTCACTGGATGCGTTGTGTTTGCAATGCGCCGTTTACATATACTTCGAAGGCTGGGACGACTTGATGAAGTTGACGCACTTTTCACAAGTTTGGCCGAAGCATCGAAATCAGCAGGGCCGAAGATGGTGAACCATTTCGTCGTAAAACATGCTCGTTTCCTGGTGGGAGAACGAGGAGATACAGCCGGCGCCTTGACCTTACTTCGTGAAGCAATTAAAAGAGAACCAGTAAGCTTATAATAATACGTTACCTACTCTTATCTCTCTTCTTATTATCAAGTTTATATTTATTGGAATTGTTGTTGCCTGTTGGAACAGCAAAGTTCTTTTTGTCGCAGTGAAGTTATCGAAGAGAGTTTTATCGTTTCAGGACAATGTGCGAACCTACCTCACAATGATCGAATTGGCGATGCAGAGCGGAGATCAAGCTTTAGCTGAGGAAGCGTTCGATAGTGCCCTGAAAGCGCCAGAGGTACCCCAAGCCCGTAAGCTTGAAATGCTACAGCGAAAGTTCGAATTTTTCGAGGAAATGACTTTTGAGGTAGCGAAAGCACAGGCCGCCCTTGAGGAATACACCAAGATGCTTAAGGTATGGTCTACATTACTATGTATTGACTTTCTTGGATAACTTAACTTTTCCTTTAGAAACTCTGTAAACTCTTTTGTGGCGGACTATACTAGCTCCGCAACAAGACACTGTTCGCATAATTAATACAAAACACACTGAACAATACAGCTTTTTGTTAGTACAGTTGGTTGCCAAGGTTAGAACAGGTCTAAATCGAACTCCTACCACCACTGCCGCAGGTTGTAGAGAAGGATCGTGAGAAAAAACGTCCAGGCGAAGAAAATAGTGGAGCAACTTCTTCCGTTGGGACTTCCGATTCGAAGCGACAACGCTCAGATGGTTATCAAAGCTCTAATAATAACTCAAGCGCAGGATATTATGGAAACAACAGCGCCCGAAGCAACGGAAGCGGTTATGGACTTATGCAGCAAGCTCAACAACATGCAGCATGGGGCGGACAACAGGTGTGTGGTTCTTCGTAATGATTCCGAAGTCTCGACAACCCTTATGTTTTATGTTGCCATATTAATTCTTCTTTTAGGAACAATATCATGTAATTTTCACACTCCGAGTGAAAGGCTTGATAACTAGAAAGTCCTTCAGATAAGATCTATAGGCAAATAGCAATGTCGAGTGTTGATACACTCATCATTTAAATTTGGGCATGTGCCAGCGGCTGGTTACGGAATAGTAATTTTTCTCCCTTATAAGAAAGCACTAGAGATTGCTCAAATTTCATTAGGTATTTGAACTGGCTTAAATAAAGGAAATTGGTCAAAATATAGTGTTGGATTTGAGCACTGCGTAGTGTTTTTTCAGACGATAAATTGAAGAATTTTAGCCTTGAATGTAGTCTAAAGTAGCGTTTGAGCTTTACTTGAAGTGAATAAATTAGTCAACTTGCTATTTCTGTCATGATAATTGAGATTTCATTGTTTGTGCATTTTTTAGGGATATGGCCAAGCATACGGAGGCGGTCAAGCGGCGTGGAATGGTCAACAGCAGCAACAGCAGGCACAACAAAGCGCCTACGGTTATAACTATTAAAACAAACTATAGGTATCGAATTGTTCAATAACGGTTAGGGTTACAATTCAAACGCAGCATCGAAACAGTCGGATGAACGATGATTGTGAATAACTGATGACGGTCAAAGAAAAGATGATCGACAGTATCTATGTGTACAAACAGTTACCCTATAACACACTCAAGCGCATTGTACACCGTATCGGGGGAAATCTTTACGAAGATAACATGAAGCCATCGGCGTAACGTATTAAGTATGAGTAGTTGATGATTGTATAAGATGAACGATTTGGACATGTGTGAGGAGACACAGAGCTTGTTTCCAAATACTTAGAGGATAAATTATGCAAAAGATTACACGTCCTACATATGATTCACCAGCTAAAACAAAGTGCGTCAAAGTGAGGTGTGTTGCCTGTTATTCGAAAAATGAAGCTAATTTTACTACTACAAGAAATTAAAGGGAAACAATTTATTATTAGACGGATAAGTGACAAAGATACGCCGCATACGTCCTTCTTTTTCACAAGACAAGCGATTAGTAACTGGTCTTTGTATTTAGTGAAAAACTTTAGATAGTTACTCAAGATAACTGAAAATGTTTGCTGACGTTAGTAAACAGCCTACAACATATAATTTGTATAATTCATCCCATTTAAATTTAATTTTGTGTAAAGCAACAATGTCACCTATAAGGATCAACGACACACTTGAAAATGCTTGCTTTAGGCTTGTTGACTACTCATCGGTCAGTACAGATCTACACAGAAAATTGTTCCGCTTGTTCATCGAAGTAGGTCGTGCGTAACACATAGGTGCTGCCGTCTGGAATTTCAGGTGCGGTGATTTATAACAAATTATTTTTCTTAATGATGTGAACTGCAGAAAAGAAGCGTCACAAAAAACGAATAGCAATTCGATCGGGGAAAAACCTCACGATTTCACTCCAACACTAAACATCCGCACATCATTCAGCTTTTATTAAATATACAGCGAAGAAGATAATATAGTAATAATAAAACAGCAAACCTACTATCATCTATAACAACAGCAACATACTATCATCTATAAAAACTTATGTTATGACGTTGACATCATTGTCAGTTTACTAACGCCGTAAGCGTTCTGAGTTGATCAGGAGTCAAAATCGGAAGCAAGAATGTAAATCTCGACAATAGCGAAAAGTTTAAATATTCATGATAATTGTCTAGCTTATTAAATATAATAACGGTGGTAGCAATACCTCAGTTATATCGAGCGCACGATTTAGGATTAGATAGAATATAATTATTGCCGAAAATTATCTGACATACCTAAGGGAAGAATAATTACTAAATAACGAATGACACAATAAAATGGCGCAATTTTGTTTAATATGTTGTGTTATTTTCATCTATTTGTTGTTGTACACAGTATATCTGGGATTCGATGGTTCTCACAGGGCTCACAAGGAATACTTGTTGAGCATTTGTCCGACGTAGCCTAAACTAACTTTCAATGTATTTTCTTTGTTTTCTCCTTTAGTGGATAAATTAGGGAGCCCGGCAACTCAAACATTTAAATCGGATAGGGGCTATTTTGTTTGAGTAATTGATATCCGACAGTTGGCTGTAGGTTCAATTTTCGCTCCGAATAACATCTCGAATAGTATCTGTATAGTATTAGCATTGCCAATTATTTAGATTTCAAAAACCTGGTCGAAAGTTTATGCGAGAGTTGCGTATGAGAGTTATCCTTTGGCGTCATAACTTTGGTTGGTTAGAGTGTTTATAATTTTTAGCTAAACAATTGGGATTATAAATATCCTCTCGCTTTGTGATGATATTTTATAAAAGTCTCAATAGAATTCCGGATTTAGAAGCAATTAAATAGTGCTTTTTGATCTTCAATGTGTAATTAATACGAGCTGACTCACCAATAAAGATCTAGGTGAGAACTTCAAAACGTACACGATCTTAATCTTAATGAATAGCTCTCGCAAAGCAAATTACCAGTAAAGCACTATTTTCAAAAAAGTCAGGAAAATATATTGTAAACCAATTTTAGTTTAACTCCAGACACTATTATGTCGATTACACAAAATCTTTTGAAAAATAATCCCGCGATCTTGTTGCTGAAACGTTAGAAAGAAACGTTAGCTATTCACAAAAAAACAGTGAAATAATGGTCTTTAACTTTTTTAGACTCTAGTTGTCGTAGTATAAGAAAAGCTTAACCTAAGTTCATAGCATAGCCCTCTCTACCTAGCCCTCCCGCCAGAATATAGAAATGCATGCCTACTTCATCTATTTAATAATTCAAAAAGCAAAATAGGCTTACAGCTTATAAAATTTATGAGAATTTAAGAAAACTAAATATCGTAAGCCTTGCTTATTCTCCTGAAGTGTTATTTGTTATGCAACTTTTCTAAAACTTATTTATACATATGCCTACACCCTGGAGGAGACCCTTATAACATAGAGTAAAAACTACAGCATTAAATGTACACAGGTAGCCGTTGGTCATCGTCCATAACGTACATTTTCGCATATGCTGTTCTGGATTCAATGGTTTCTGGCCAATGTATTATTAGTCAATATTGGCGCAATATTAAAATTGTACAATGCATCTTGCCAATATATACTACTTTACAGCGGCTTCCTGAAGTGACCGACCAGTTTTACCTTTCTTTGTTTAATCACATAAGTATAGCCACTGCCATTATCACCATCATTATCATAACCATAATTAATAAACAAAATCATTATTTAGCCCGCACAAATGCGTATCATCATAATTCTGAGTGTATTAAGCTCGCGATAGCTATGACTTATATACTTCTGTATTTTTGTTTTATTCGTTCCTAGCATAATTAGTTTTATCTTTTCTAAGGCGATCAGCGGATGCAGCATCAAGCGGCAACAACAATAGATCTAAGAATGTGTGCGCATGCTGGCAAAGAGTCCTTTAAATATAGACTTTTTGTTATCTTTCTCATCATGCCTGGACATCAATCTGCGATCGGTTTTTGCCCTTAGATCATTTTACTAGTACGTGCCATTGTTATATTTCTGGCTTCCATGGGAGTTTTAACATGTAACTACTTATATGTTTTCGTTCTATTTGGAGTTTGCTCTTGGCCACCAGAAAACATGTTCGTATCATTATCTAGAATTCCACATATTTTCGTAATCGCAGATTAAAGCACAATTATCCATCGTCTTTTTGATCCTAACTCTCTTATATATGCATATCATCATGTTACAACGATCAAAGATAATGCCTTGCTTTTTTTATGTGTTATTAGAGGCTATGCCTAGTGCGTCGCTGTTTTTAAGAACAGTCACAGAGGGAAAAGTGTGGAACGGGGTCAGCTGGTATCTAAAGTGAACGCAACAGGTGCTTACGTCAATGTCGCATCAAACTTGTGTTCCAACTATTGTAATTCACCGTTTCATCCCTAATGTTCATATTCTAAATCAACCTAGCAAATACTAGCAATATAATTTTTTGTAACTCAAATCCGTGTTTATCGGTATCGCTTTTGCTAAGCAGTCCATCTCTCGATATATTTTGCCATTTCCGTATTTTCTTTTAGTAATCTGATCTCGTTCCTCAATGCCCATTACTTGGCGTCGGGGCATCACACGTCCGTGTCAGCCCGTTTGCTGTCAATTCATGTGTTCGTTCATAACTTTTAACATACGTGTATATTTTCATCTTTATTCAATATTTTCCGTGTAAGACGGGGTTTATGAGTGACGCTTCCTCTAAATAATTGTTGCTTCTTCTCTTCCTGTCATTTTGCCAATGACGACGTAACGATAGCCATATGTAAAAGCTAGAACAGCAGACTTTAAAATAGCAAGCCTAGACTCTAGCTTCAAGTTATAATGTAAACTTCGTCCTACTTCCCATGTTCTAAATATGTTGGCAGTCATAATATAGTTACTGATACGAAACGCTTTCTCATGCGCCTGTAAAGCAGTTTACCCGTTTTAGCGATATTTATGACATCTTATTATCGTCATTGTTCCATTAGTCTTATATATTCATATCCCTTCTTTCTCACGGCTTCGCTATTAATTCTCCTTTTCCCAATTTCATTTTACTGATATAATTACACTGTATGTCGGCATTTGTATTGTCACTATTGATACGTAATTAATCTACACACTTCCACCACGCTCAGATTGGCGCGCGATTTACTAGTTATCATTGTTACTATTTGGAGTTATTATCGTTATTATTATTTTGTATTGTCAGTATTGTTGTTAATGTGTATATAATTCCCGGTTTTTGCCATTTCATGTTTCTTATGTACTTGCAATACAGCACATAGTGATCTATAAACATACTACCATTGCCTATTCGTAGTGAAGCATGTTGTTGCTATTGCTGTTGCCAGCCTCCTCTCCTGAACTCCTGTCGTCATGTTTACCGCTAGCCGTTTCGCTCTCGTCTTTTAGATCAACAACAGACGATCCACTATCGAGTTTACGTTCCAATTCAACTTCAACTTTTTCATCGTCGTCTTCACCCTCCTCCTCTTCAGCATCTTCCCGATCTCCGTCATCATCATCATCATCGTCGTCATCTACCGGATCTTTTTTATTTTTTTGACTCGGTTCTTGCTGTTGGCCTTGTTGTTGTGCTTTTTTGAGCGCCTGAACGCGCCATTCAAGTGCATGGAATAGCTGATCCGCATCCTTCGGTGATATACACTGAACGAGGAATACGCCAATCACACCCTCTGGTGACTGACCGGTTAGGCGGATACTCTTCGCCGATGGATGCTCCACCTTCATTCCAGACCATACGCTAGTGTTCAGCACCACTCGTAGACTGCCCTGGGTGCGCATTACTGAAGTACGCAATAGCAGTATGTTAACAAAGCTTAAAAAGGGTCGTTCCTTTTCATTGTTTAATGAATAATATTTGGTTTAATCCTCGTATTAATTAATTCGAATTAAGTAAAACGAATTACCAAGGCATGCCCAGGTTTAGATAGAGAACTTACCAACTCTGCTCTGAATGGAGCCATCATCTGGGTTCTGCTTATCGTTAACTCGCAATACGCCTCTGCCACGCTCTTGATATTGAGCTTCCTCGTAGATGTACAGTTTGCAATTAATTTGTAGAACATTGCTTTCGTCTTCCTCTCCTATAAAAATTAATTGAACAATAATACGTACCCTATTAATTAAGCTTTGTTTAAGTTCACAACATGACCTTATAAGGCTACCCATATCTTACGTTAGTACATATACTGCAATATACAACAGCTTATAGCGTAATTCTTTAATACTTTACAAAAAAATTCGTTACAAATGGTTTCATTACTCGATCTTCATTTATTAGAGGTATTCATTAACTAGTGTGAATAGTACTTGCTAATAAAAATAACTATGCAAAAATTGCAAACAATTACATTGCTGCATAGATGTGAAGTTGTAGTTATTTCTTAATTCACTATGCAGGGCTTTTTATTCATCGTAGGTAGCACCTTTAGCGGTCGCACGAGCATTCAAATAAGCTTCAAAATCAGGCTAATTTCGATGCCGTTTTATGAAAATTAATTTTTAACAACGTGATCCCCTGTAGGGACAAACCCGGAAGTACTCACACATGGGCTCGGTTTGAAAAACTGTTTCCCTAAAAAGTCTAAAACTGACCTGTTAAAACTTCAACTTCGTCAAGCCGACCCTTTTTTGCCTCATTTTCAAGCCTTAGCTGATGTTCCTCGGCAGTCTCCGTGAGAGTACGTTTCTCTCCAGTTTTTCCCTTTGCAGCGCCGTCAGAACCTCCATCTAAATCTCCTATTCCAGCACCTGAACCCTCCTTTTCACACGCCGCGGCGGCGAAGCTCAGTTCACTGGAGTTTACCGATTCTGTTTTTACTTCTGATACGTCAGCGTTCTGGTGAATGAATCAAGAAGTTGACATTGAAATCAGTGTTTTATAAACTCTAAGGCTGTTAGAAATTTTACTGTCGGCATTTAAAAAAGTTACGCCTCAAGGCGAGTTGTATTGGCTATAAATAAACTTATCTTTGACGTATAAAATGGTACCCAAAAGTAGGTCTTCATAATGGAAATCGATTGTGAATGGTCGTTGTACATATTATGATTATAAGACTTCCCAACTTAACGTTAAATGAGCTCAGTGAACTTACCGCAACCCGTTCATGCAGGTTTTGACCAAACACAAACCCCTCTTTCTCATTGCTAGTTTCTGCAGGCTTTGGAAGAATCACCTTTAAACGATATAGGGCCAGAAATGGGTTAAATGCATTTTAATGCAGCGCAGCAAAATCTTTGTTCTACTAAGAGTAGTAAGTCAGTAAGAAAGACGATACAAGTCTTCGTTCCATCGTTTAAAAAGTGACTTTTTGACTAGATTTTCCAACTAAAGACTCAGCTTCGCAGAAACGATCAACTTACATTCGTGACACGGTTATCAAGATTTTGGCCAAAAACCACTTCGCCTATATCTGTATCCGACTTGAATACGCCAGACTCAGATTTATTGTCCGTCGATGATTCTTTTTTAGCTGCTACTGGAGAGTCCCTTTTTTCCACCGCCATGGCACATTTTGAGGGGACGGATTTTTCGGAACAAGGTATTTCCGCGTTGGTGTCTTTCTGTTCCATGGATTTCGCCAAGGTGGTGTCATCCTCACCCGCAAGCAACCTATCAGTTGGTTTTCCTGAAAGCCAAGTAGAATACAATTCGTTTCCAAAGAAAAACGTATTTTTTTCTTGAGCAATGTATGTTTACCTTTCCAGATGTCGTACATATTGCTTCGCAAAAACCCACGTTTTCTTCTGAGTAATTATACTCTGACCAATAAATGGAAGCCTTCTTTTGTCTATAATACCTCTACTCACAAGTATTTTAGACCATCACCTACATTTACACGATAGAGGCCTTAATTCGAAGTATGACTACTAGTTAGTGAGGTAAAAGGACTTTTACCATTATTGTTATTAATACGGGTAGGTGTGTTATAAATTTTGAGATTTGAAGTCTGAGCTGCTAGGGCTGACGGTTTCAGCACGAATCCCGACGCGCGAGGTGAGTCTTGGGCGCCGCCAGTTCCGCCGAGCACAAGGGTGGGTGGTGCCACCAATGGACGAGATTCTATAAAGGATTAACAAAAAAAAACGCTCCAGTGATCTCTACTATCTTTCCAAAATTATTAAATTGCTAAATTAAGACACATTCAACAAAAAAATTGTTACACCTACGTCGTGATTGAATTCTGTATTTACGAAATTTTTCTCAATCCATGTCTCTGTTACTAACACTACTGTAAATACTAATAATAAGAATACTATAAACGCTGAATGAACGTAATGAATTTTAAACTTTTATGGTGTTTTGCCCAAAGCGAATTATTTAACAAAAACAGGCTACCGTTGATTATTATATTTATATCTATAAAGAGATAAGAATAATTCATAAACACACGGAATTATGCTTTGATAATAGAGAACGTCATCTATTAAAGAAAGCACTACATTTATTTCTGTTTTAAACGATTTCTGCCTTTAACTGGCGGACTTTCATCCTGATTCCCAGGTCAGGAAACTTAAAAAAAGCATCAATACTAGAAACAGCGCTTCTACTCAGGTCTGTGATGTTTTTTAGCTGCCTTCGTTGTGAAATTTCATGATGCTTTAGGCTTACTGCACAAATCATACAGCCAAGACATAATTGCATTTATCTTTAAAGGCGTGTTTCAGTAGGGCAACTCCATAAATTCTAATTAGAATTACTTTAGTAGACCCATTTGTTCGATACAGCAGACAAGTACAGAATGAATCACAAGGAAAAGCGTGAGTTAAAACTCAATCATGAGACAAAATTTCACTTTAAGTATTTTCTCTGACATATTTTAATCCCATTTTTCCGCATAACAATGCAGAGTAAACCAATACGTTGGTATGATACGTAATTATAAAAAAAAAAAAGTGTTCCCTCAAATCCCGAAAAAAATAAAATACAAAGTTATTATTACAAACAGATAACAGACAACCTTTCTCTCGAACACAGTGGCACTTTTGGAAGTCAGTAACTACCCCCTAATAAACGTCCTACCTGCTGTCACTGTAAGCGACGATTTTTTTTCACAAATCTTCTTGATTACTTTTAACAAGCTTAAAGCTCAAAAAAGAGTTCTGCGGAATTCCTGTTCTTTTGCTTGAGCTTAACATAAATATGTTATGAAACGGTTGAGTATACATCGTTCGATGGAGCTCACCGTTATCTTAGTCCAGACAAATGCCCTTTTTAAAAATGCAACAAAATCACTTCTTTTTGACAGCAACGTCAACAAGTTAATGTGAAACCCTATGCGGAAAAGTAGGACAGAACTTCAACCGCATAAATCAATCGAACGGTGGCATACAACGTTTTCTTGAAAAAGCCACGATTATTCGGCAAGGTAACTTCAAAAAAGAAAATGATTTTGTTGTACGTACTAGTTGGCGAGGTTTGATCAGATGAAATCATGCTGGTATCAAATCCCAAAATCTTTAGAGAGTCGGTTGGACAGTTCCAGAGGGCCCACTCGCAGCATTCGGTGTTCACAATTTTTGGCCTGGGCGGTCGTTATAGAGAATTGACTTATTTTAACACAACTTTTAAAAGTGTTAATCAGAGCTTTAAGACCGAACACATTTAATGAACCAGCTGATTAACGCGCGCATTAAAACAGCGAGAGTCATCGCAGCCGAGAAATCAGGAAAGGAGAATGGGCCCGCGAACTCGGCCCGCGAAATTTAAAGTATCATGCAAAAACCGTGTTTAGCAGATGCTGGTACCCTAAATAGCCAATGCTGTCTACCGAGCCAGGCGTTTCAGGCGCCAATTTCAATCTAGTAGAGTTACAACGCTATTCACGAAGGTCAGGTCTTGTTATATAGTGACGTGACATTCAGAAATGAATAAGTTTCGCAACAGTATTGAACAACCAGAAGGAATCAGATTCAAAAGCTCGAGGCTGACATGCAAGGGCTATTGTCAAGTCGTCGTATAGCAATATTGATAACAGAACTAACTTCACTTTAGGACAATACAATCATTCTCTTTTTAACTTTTATAGTAGTCACCAAATGTTAAACTTGATCTTTAGATGCGTTATGGACACTTCTAGTCTTCTAATTTGCTACAACAATACATCTTTCTCAAAAATTGCATAAACTAAAATTTAGGAACCTCTTAACGCAGTCAACATTGGACACTTAACATTTAAAAGTTAATCCTAGTGGTCATAGCAACTCGCTGAAAAGAAGCTGTGTGTATGTATAAAATTAATTTCATCTAAATTTTTTGAGTCTTCTTGCGGTTGAACCTCATACCTTTTTCAGCAATTGAAAAACTCGGATAAGGCATATGGCAGTATAAAGCATCATTGTTGCAACTGTTTACTTTGTAAACTTGAACAAATACAATTGCAAATAAAGAATGATATTGTCTCCAAATACAATGGTACCACATTAGATCGTATCACTCGCGTAAGCATAATTGGGTACAGGTAGGTATTTTATGTTGAAGATAAACAAGAGTTATTCGACCAATTTGAGGTGATCTCATAAGGATGAAAAATATTAAGGTGATATATAGAAATACATTTTTTATTGGTTTGCTATTCATTTTAAGTTAACGGCAACTACTATAGCAGTATTATATCTTATCAATAACAACCGGCAAAGTCAAACGAAATTTCAAAATTGTTCTATACACCATCTACAATAAGATTTATTGGTATTAATTAGGATAATTATGATAGTAATCAAAAAGTTCCAAAGAAATCTTGAGAAGTACTTCGCTCTAATTGATATGACGCGCAGCAGGTATGAACACACTCGTATTTCGCATCATCACTATTTATCATAATTGCAAAAAAATAAGTAACAACAACAGTACCTTTTCGTTTCAAATTTTGAGTTTGAATGATGTTCTTCTCTAGGAAAAACGCTGCAGTAACTACGTGTATCGCTGAAATCTTCGCACTAACACATTATCGTTTTGTAGCACTAAAGTACTTTTCTTTTAAATTTAATTCGTATAAGTAGTAATGCAGTATCATGCAGCAAGATATACCCATTTAACAGCCAGGACTTTTAAAAAGAGTGATGATAAGAAAATTGATTCACCATTACATACCCATAGAGTGATTACTAATGCAACCAAATGCAAACAAAGGAAAGAATGGTACATTATAGTTTTTGAGAAGCTTTATGAGAATAAAGTTAATTTGGGAGAGCTTTATGAGTGAGACTCTTTTTACAGGATTTTTTTATTAAAACACTAGGTTACCAGGTAATATTTTCTTTAAGTTCGAAGAAGTCTGTTTTACTGGCCAGCATAAAAATATCATAATCGCGGCTGAGTAATATAAATTGAGTGACTTCTTCAGCGAATTCAATAGAAGGTCTAATGCTTTAGAAGCGTTTTATTACGACATGAGTATCGAAGTAACCGCCTTTCAAAATAGAGTCTTTCATTAATGCAGAACCACATTAACACAGAACACTGCTCAAGGCAAAGTCTTACTTAAAAACCCTCTTTTAACTTGCTCTATCCCTTACTATACACAGGCTATAGAGATTTCTGAATTTCAGCTACAAGCAATTCAAAACATTATTGCTTTAGTTAAAAATTAAGAAAAGCTTAAAATGAAATATTATTAAATTTTTAGTCAAGCAGCTAATCCGAATTAATATTGCCTCAGGGCAAATCCGCTAACGGAATTATATCTGTACTTGAAAAATAACCCAAAGAAAACTTCAGCAAATCAAGCTTAATACTGCGGACGGGGTCTAAGATTTTTATCAACAGAAGTTTACCAGAGCGTATTACGGAGCCATTGGCTTCGGAGTCTCATATATGATCATCCAGTTAATTCTATCATTGCAAAGAGTATATTAAAGTTTAATAAAGAAGATCTGATAGTCATTATAAATAGACTGAAAGGCCTTTTATTTGGTTGTAATAAAAGAAATTCACATCGTGAAAAAGTTCTTTTCCCAGGAGTATTTAATACTTTAAAGAAAACATTTCGAAGTGGCCTAAATGATATCCGAGTATATGATATTGTGAGCGAAGAATTTAAGAGGAACATTGGCTTTTTAAAAAGCAAGGTAGACGAATTAACAACTGAGTTTAGCTATGAAACAGTATGAGCTCATTCGTTTTACGTTAGCTTTATATATTATAGCTAGTTATATTTGAAATAGGCTAAGGCATTAGTCCCGTTTTAGCGCACTCACCTCGATTACTTGTATCCTCGCCTCTTGTTGGCGTAGTGGCTCTGATCGCAAATGGATTTCGACTTCCAAGCGTGCCTGAAAGAAATAATCGAAAAAACCATAATACACAATGCAGAATACCTCTAATATTTTTCGTCATGTAGGTCAACTTCTATGGATAATTTTAGGTTCAAATCTTCAGGTTCAGCTGACAATCATTGACATCTAACGCTCTTCCGTAATTAACGCTTAGTTTTATATTCAGTTCGGTAGCTACAATGTATGCTTTTACTTATTTTAGAGCTGCACAAAAGACGAGTGTACTTGAAGCCTAATCATGAGACACACATATGTGCTAGTTGTAAATTTTAAAGCAAACTATATATAACTGGAGGAAATGATAGCAAACTTTTGACCACTATCTGTTGTTAACATAAAGGCTGCAGTAACTTTGTCAGTACGGGGCAATTTACAAGTAAATCCATGAACTGCGTTGTGAACCTTATCTAGCTCCATTTTATCTTAAATACATCTTAAATAAAAATAGGATCAGGTAATTCAATGACTCTGCGCGAGTGCTCACAGGATTGAGATACCCAATATGCTTTTCTTATTGTAAGACATAGTTCACTCTAAATAAGCGTACATCTGACTGCCTGCAGAATTCCATATTTCAGAGACTATCTTATGAATGTATAAATCCAGTGTTTGTTTTAACCTCTATTACGAAATAGAAGCTTGTCGGCTGTATCTGTAGGTGACATGCGATGAATTCGGCTTGCCTTACAAACTTCACGATAAGGTGGGAAAGTATGCTTGAAAGGACACCCTTAGGTGATATCAATCGACCAACGAATATTTAGCAAGTATGCTTCATACATGACCAAACGAATGTCTCTGCCCCTTTATGACATGCCCTTTTTTACGTAGTGTTAGAAAACGGCTATTCTAAACTTAATGCGAGTAACAGCAGTGCCGCGAAGATTTCAATAACCGGTCTTAATTCCTTGAAGCACTAATGAATACACTAACACTGACTTAAAGAAAAATCTGGATACACAGGCTCCACAGTTTTCAAGAAATCTCGTTGCCATTTTAAGCTCGCCGCGGCGGCATTCGTTAAGTCGTTTTGGGCAGATCGGCGACTGCAATCACTATAAACGAATGTGTCAAACACGAACACTCAGGTAGAACCTAATGCCAAACAACAGTAATTTCCTATACCAAATACAGAACATATATTGATACTACACCTGAAACCGATCCTTCCATGAGTGACAAATTTCATAACATGTCAATTTTGATGCATTGGTTCAAGGATATTTTATACATATCTAGGTTTGTATCCATAGGCTTGGAACCTAATAATAATATTGAGTGTTAACGATAACAATCATATACGCGAGACATTTGGAAGAAAACACAGAAACTACAATCGAATAACTAAATTAACTATAGAAATCGTTATGTTCAGGAGACAACTTGTGATAAAGTGAACAAAAGTACAAGTCAACCTTAAAATCACAAGTTCTTTCTTTTTGAAATTTTTATTTAAAAAAATCGTCCCTCGTGAGAGAGGGTGCATCGAAAACAACAAAAGGTTCACTTGGAATACAGGAAGTGGAGATTTCACAGAACGAAGATCACCAATTTTTTCCATTCTCCTTAGACTATTAACATTTCGTGCGCCTCTGGAAGACCCGCTAGCCTCACGCGTGACATTTGACTTGACCAAATTTACACCACATAGAAATACGTATCGGAGAGCATGTTATCCCACCAGTACTCTAAATGCGAATCAGATTAATACGTACAGACAGCCATTAACATCATCCTGGCTAGCTAGCGTAGGCCGTTCGCTGAAGTCGTGTCCCTTCTATAATAGAAGATCAAATAGTTCTTCGTCAAAAGTGACTACTCTAATGCTTTTGCAAATATTCTATTAGCGAAATGTTTTTAGTCAATCCTCAAATATCTTGTAATGGCAAACTTACCATTGTCCGCCATATTCGTGGCGCCGTCACTCGATTAATCCAGCTGCAGCGCTCACACTCCTAGAAGCGGCAGCAGCCGGCTCTAGATCACAAGAAAACCAACTGCAGTTCGCACTGATGTCGAAATATGTCCCTCAAGCCCGTTCAAGATTTTACAGTACCCTACACGTAACGCTTTTTATCCTACAACAACTTTTACTGCCTTAACGCAACTCTGTTGTAATTCAAGCTCGACCACAATTCTGTTCAGGTAAAGTGAGTGTGTCAATCACACTTGGAACGGTTGAGCAGTTACAGTATACATGCACAAATCTGTAGTCACTTCTACACTGACAGGTCTCTCGTGTGCTTACGTTCTTCCCGGAATCGTTTTTGTCTGTTCTTATTCCTTTTTTCTTTCAGTTCAATTGTCCTGATAGCAAAGACACAGAGCGCTTGTCTTCTTTAACCTGGACAAACAAACACCCAGGTAGAAGGGTATAAGGTATACACGCTCCACGGGCAAACGAATGGACGGGCAGAAAGTGTTCAGATTCGATGGCAATCCCCCAAAAATTGTGGTAGTAGTTGCACGTCCTCCTCCTTCTCCACTCAATTCCGATTTCTTTGCAAGTCCACTCGACTTAGTCCTTCCACTTCTTCAGTCTTAAAAAGCTACACGTATAGAGTACATACAGATAGTCACTCACTAGAGAGTCACTCATCTACCGCTGCGACGAGTTGCGGCAATAGCGCGATATTGCATTGCAGTTCTCAGTTTGTCGTCTAATTAGTTGGTTAGGCAGGGTGGCCACGTTCGGTGCTCCGAGGCGGTGCAAGCGGCGGTAGCAGTCGCAGCCGAGTTAGTTTTTCCTAGTTGTTAGTTGTTGTTGTTGTTGTGGTGGTCTGTGTTTGTGCGCCTATAGTCCGGTTTTGTCGGCAGCCGAAGCTTCGGCGGCTGATGACAGTGATTTTGATTCTAGATTGTCCGCTGCTGGAGCAGTGAACACCTTCCTAAGCAGCGACAGCAGCAAGAGCAGTAAATGTTCGTTTTGTGGGGTCACGTACGACAGGCTACATGGAAAACAACGTAAACAATTACTGTTCCGGCTATGTCAGGGTACTCTTAGACTATCGCAGGGCAACCATTAATGAAACTGCGCCAAACTATTAGAGAAAGCAATACTGGAATAGTCCGCAGATATACGCAGGTCGGGATTAATACAAACACAACTGCAACGAAGTTCTGCTAAACCGAGTTGATGATGCTGTGCCGCTGAGGCGGCCGCTGACACGCGTTATCAGAGGCTATTCTCAGTATTCGTAGAACTTTAAATGCCGTCAATTAAAGTGATAAAGAGATGTTAGCTGAAATGTTTGGAAATATTGAAGCAGCTTGCAGAAGTAAAGACTTTGATGTCGAAGCGTTCGTTTATTCTTGCTTTAAATCGTAGGATAAGCAGTACACACAGAAATATGGATAAAGGAAAACGAATATCGGCACGTTTGTGTTTTATTAATGATATCGGATACTTACTTAGACAACGCACCCTGTGACTGTTACCATTTTATATTATACTATGCTAACAGGAAATGCTTCTGATATCGGTAGGCTCCAGAAAAATTGTTCGCAGACGATTCGAATTTCAATCTATGTGCCCGCGACGTTTCATAGGTGCTTTCAGATGTTAAAGGCGGGCCGGACGGGGACTCGTTCGGAAATTAATGCAGTTTCGCTCAGAGAATAGCGGCCACGGATCGAAACCTTCAAGCTGGTGTGACAGCTCCTGTATTGAGCACTGTGGAGAGACTTCGTTTGTTTTCTTGTGCGTGCTGTGTGTTCGGCCAGCGGCTCGCGTGTGCATATGAGTGTGTACTTCATTGAGTACAGTTGTTTATTAATGCCCTTCGCTGCTTGTCTGTTTAAAGGCTGGACTGTGCTGCTTTGGTGAATGGTGGGAGAGTTAGATTACGACTGCAGCTCCGCCAGGTAGTCGACGATCGACATCAGAATGAACAGCATGGAGGCCAGACGGGCGGAGCTAGAAAAGAAACGGCAGAAGCTGGAACAGCTCCGTAATGAACGTCTCAAAGCCAAAGAAGAAAAAGAACGCCAGCAAAGGCTACAGGCTGCTGCTGCGGGGGTAGGTTCACCTTTGTGTTCGGTCGCCTCCCTCTGTTTTGAGTGAACGAAGGCCAGTGATTGTGGGCGCTGTCTCTAATGCGATCAATAATTTTCTGACGCGATAGATCATGTTTGGGTAGGCAATCAACTCGTAAGTATCTACTAATACAGGTTACTACGAGATTTGAGCTTACAAACAGCACTGCATCAATTAATTAGACGGGATTAAATGACAATTGATAAAGCGCGCCCCTTATTAGCATTTGACTGGAACGCATAATGACAAACCAAATTCATATGCATTACACTGAATTAACTGAAACTCATATAGCTATAAAAACGCTTCACTATCATCTAATTTGTAAAAGTTGCTTTCCCACATAGTTCAACCTAAAAATGCCTATACGTTATTATATTACTATTAGGTTCTATCTTAAGTGATAACAGCTGTTCAGTAGATACTAGTGTGCTTAATCGATTCAAATTTACTTTTTTGTACTTTACTCCCTAATAAATACATTCGTTTAACATTCAGCAATAAACGCTGACCAGGATCCATATATGTACCAAAAAAAAGTCGTTGCTTCATTCATATTAGCAGACCCAGTTTATTTATAGCTTGCTATTTTTTAACTTCAGATGCTGAAGTGGTGATTTAATCGCAAACAGGCCAAGTCACACTTCGGTACCAGTTTTATTCGTTTACAATGAATTTGATATTATGTATTTATCCGTTACAGAAAAATTTTATTCAATGCATGCAGTGCTATGTTACTATTAACCTAGATTGCAACACTCGGTACCTCACACCATGTAGTGACCAATATCTCTCGAATTAATGAGCTTTGTTCCGAGGCTCGTGTACTAATTTGCGCTAATTTGGAAATCCGTTTTAGACTGGCGAGGCGTCCATTGCTGCGCGATCTGATGTGGACGACATCCTTGACTCACTGGGCATTAGTCTATTATCGGGAAAAGGTAATGGTAAAAAAACACGATGTGAAGGCACCATGTAACCTCAAAGATGCATGTTACAAACCGTATAGACCACACAAACGGTTATGTATTGTCTGCTGTCGAAGCTTTTTGTGCTTCGTTGTTAAATAAATTAGTCGTTATTCTTAGGGTAGTCGATTATTAAAAATATTGTCCTTTTTATGATGAAGGATAGACGTAAATCATTTTCAAATAATTTCTTTCATTTCAATAAAATCAATTTTCGTTGTTAAGCTTTGCATTAGTAAGTTTAGCAATCCATTGAAGTGTAACCATGTAGTATGAATATGCTTCATTCTCGTTTCAGATTCGCCTCTAGGATCTAGTGGAGTGGCGGGATCGGGGCACTCGGTGGGAGTTGGTGGAGATACTCCGGATGTCCACTCGATTGCCTCATCCGTTCAAGCAACGCCCACCAGAAAAGCGAGGTAGGCAATCAGATTGTGGTGCTTCAACAAGGATTCAACATGACCTTACGTATATTTACTTTTCTTCGTTTAGAGAAAATATCAATGCGTTTAATTTAGCTATTCTTATACATATTTAGATTTCGCGTAGCACATGTGTGAGCAATAGAAGACTGAGGTATTAGTATAGCATGAAACAAACATGGTAGACGTTTTAATTAAATACATCACTTTTGGCATTGACGAGGCTTCAGACAAAACGTACTTTGCGAATTACTTTGTATTTAAAAAGTAGTTTATTCTCTATCGGGCTAAGAAAAATGTTTTAAATACCTATTTTTTGTGTTTTCAGGAAAAATGTAGCTCTTCAGGTGGTTACGGTAAACCAGAGCAATATCCCTCCTAAGGAGTGCGTTATGTACTCAAAAACAACACAGACTTTACCAGGAAACGATAGAGAAGGTGCGTTCAATAAATCGTGGCAATCGGCACTTCTGAATATGAAACTCTTTATTTCAAAAAACAATTAACAATAGGTGGCATACCCGCTAACTTGTGGATATTTTAATGCTTTTTCTTCGCAATCAGAAGCTTATATGGGTAACTATAAATGGAAATTTATAATGAAATTATTAATTTAAGAATAAAGAATGGGTAAATATAACCTATTTCAATATAAAGCTTTAGGAGGTTGTACATTCTTTCTAATCACAACATTTTGATTTAGCGATTACTGTTGATTGTTTACAGTTCAGTGAATATTTAAATAACGCTTAAATGTACTAGGACAGCTAAATAATCGGCTACGTTGTATCTTCCTGTACAACGACACCTAAACTGATCCGGACATATCATTGCTCTCTAATGTACTGTCGTTTTATTGTCTTATTAGCAACTCGCAAACAGATTAACAAATAATTCTTATTCAAAAATTTTTCTGTCATAATAATTTGTTATTCACCCAATCCACCCATGATGAGTTAATGCAGTAACGCGTTCTGTACATGTCGTTCTCAGTCAACTGCCCATTTAGTGTAATTCTTTCTTTGTAAATGAGTTTTCTTGCCTTTGCAGGAGGTTATGGCGGCAAGGGTCGAAAAGGTTGGTGATGTGGCACCATTTTTTAATATGAGTTTGGTTCTCTGACATAGATTTTAAATCACTCCAAAATGTATGGTGCATGGTGAGAATAGACTATAAGTAACTACAGCAGTGTCAACTACAGCCGACCTTAAGATGTACACCAAATTGTCGTTTCTGTGTGTGTGATTCCTCATTATCGACTTAACGACATATCTTTCACAATACATCTTCTCTCAAGTGTTTTAGTGTTACAGAGACCTTTTTCTAGTTCTCTTTTTCGGCACGTTTATATATGGATGTACTAAATTGTTGTTCTTGCCAAGAGTCTTTGAGCTCAAATAAGATATTCGATGTTCCGCAAGCTCTGCTTAATGGTAAAGTTATCTTTATTAGTGTTCAGCACGCAGCACACCTATAAGCCAGACGATCGCATTGGCTATGGTCTTTATCAAACTTAGTAGCCAATAAAATTGTTGGCGGTGGTACATTAAAGTGGATTATGTTTTTTCATCATACGATAAATTATTTTGGTTCTATGTACAACAGCAATGTTTGCTTGTGGGACGCAATAACAGTTTTTTTTTCTGTTTTTTTTTTTTATGAAAATGAGCCCTTGAAAATTCTTAGCTAAGTTTTTTAACTGCTTTTTAGATACTGTTTCAAAGGCTTTGTCCCATATATATAGACAACACAATTATTATACGCGTATTACCAATGAGACGATTGCTTTGTTTTCTTTGAACCCCTTTTTTGTAAAATTGTTAATTCTCATTTAATGCGTAACATTTTTCAACAGCTGGGACTATCACTAAAACCTATGTATGTCACCTTGCTTACTCCGTTTCCACAAATGTCGGAAGGTATTTAGTTTTAACATGTGTTAATATCTGAATGATACTTCTGAACTTTCAGCCACTCAACCCGTGGACTACTATGGTAAGCATTTCATGTTGTTCGAATGAGCCTTACGAAAATGTTCTGGTGTTGTCAATTGTTATTTATTTCAAGAAACTATCGCTGCATTGGAGTAGTCTTCATAACCTACTTATTAGGTGTACCACGCCTAATTGTAACGATCCAGTAACCCTAAACTCAACAAAGTCATGTGCAATGGTCAGTGTTCTCTAACGCCTTTAGATGCTTGAATCAATCAACATTATATATTATAAAAGCAGAACATTCGAACTATTCGATGTCAAACTATGTGAGAATTTAGTTATCCACATCACTGTTTGATGAAAAAATTCAAAATATTTTTTAACCTTTATTGATAATAAAAGAAAAAATTTCGCTTTATCGTAAGCATAACTTCATTGCGAACTCATTTTGCATATTGATTTTGAATTGGCTAAACACAATATACGTAAAGCAAATTTTCAATGTTCACTACCAATATTGTTCAAGTGTACCAATTTATATCCCATTTATGAGCAGCATTGTTATTTGTAGACCGTTTATGTTTTTTTTTTATCTACTAACGAATAATGTGTGTGGCGGTTCCATGTGTTCGCCTCCTTGGCTTCGTTTGTTCGCTGATACAGTACTGACGCACTGGGACGAAGGTATGTATCATAAGTTGGATGAGCAACTTCATACATTCAGGGTACATGTCTTACTAATAGATAAAAGCACTCATCTAGATAGTTACTAAAGCAACGTTCTATTTTAATGAGTAAGAATGCAGAACACATATATTTAAATCAGAACCGATTTAACAGATGTAGTAGCAAGATGAAATCATAGAGATTTCATTTACTTTTACGACCTATATTTTTAATTCAGTTTACAACGTTCGTATAAGCTTTGGGTGCTTCT